CCGAGAGAATGGAGACTCCATCATGGTGCGGTTCAGCTGATATGACCTGGGTTTCTGAACTCACACAGAAGGAGCTCCATTCTCAGGGATGGGGCACCCTCTGGCTCTTGCGCCTGGATCTCTGGAACCTCCATGTGTGGACCATAGATGAAACACAGAAGACTTGCCCTACTGCATTCCTTTAGGATAAGCTTGAGCATAGACTGTCACCCTCCACAGTGAAAGTTTATGCTGCTGCCATCTCCATTCACCTTAATGTGGTGGATAGCAGCACGTTGGGGAAGCACAACTTAATCATCCAGTTCCTCAGAGGCGCAAGGTGATTAAATCTATCCCACCCCCCTCTCATGAACTTAAGGCAAATCTCTGTAATCCTAGGGTGTCTGCAGAGAGATCCATTTAAGCCATTCGATTGAGTATCCTTGACAATTATGTTCATGAAGACAGCTCTATTGGTTGCGTTGGCATCTATGAAGAGGGTCTGGAACAGGAAACATTTTCAGTCAGCGAATCGTGCATGGAATTCAGGTTGGCCTACTTTCACAATATCTTGAGCCCAAAGTTACTACCACTTCCTTTAAAGATCAGGTGGTGAACCTGCAAGGGATGCCTGTGGAGGAGGCAGATCCAGCTTTTTTATTGCTGTGTCCCATTCGTTCATTGCGCTTTTATGTGGACCACATTCAGAACATGAGATCTTAAGCGCAACTCTTTGTCTGCTATGGTGGTCGACAGAAGGGAAGTGCCATATCAAAACAGAGGTTGGCCCACTAAATAGTTGATGCCATTGTTCTCGCTTATCAGTGCCAGGGCGAGCTGTGTCCCTCAGGAGTGAGACCACACCCAACAAGAAGTTTTGCCTCTTCCTGGGCGATAGCATGGGTCTTTTCTCTTGCAGACATCTGTAGAGCTGCTGGCTGGGCCACACCTAATACATTCACAAGATTCTACAATATTTGTGTTTAGCTGGTTTGCTTTCGATTACAGGATAACTACAATTGGGAGGTAAATATGCTTGGTGTCCAAAAACACTTGCTTGCAGTATTCTCCCTAACCTGGAGATATGTGCACTTATATTGCTTTGCTTAGCAAGTTCCCCGTCTAGCAAACCCAAGAGAGATCCTCAGAAGCTCCCAGCACCCAACTTGTTGTATTAAAGGGCCTGAGGACGTTGGAAGCTTGTGCTCTTGGTAATGCTGGTGCAATCATGATATGCTTGGCAAAATTCTCACCAATTGCACGACAGGAATATCTGCTGTGGCGTTTTTCGGATGTGCTCCCAAAGTATCCATATACACATGTTGGAGTTCGCTTTGTGAAGGGTACTGTCTTGTACTATGATTGCATCTGTGTCTTTAAGATGGGAAACAGGTGGCATGATGGGAAGTTTTGTAATGTTACGGAGTTCATAGACACAAGAGAAGTAAAGAGTGGTGATAAAATTTTAACCTGCGTGTGGCTGGTTTAATTCAGAAGTATGTGCCATTTATGAATGAACATTTGATGATAAGACACACATACATAACAGGTGCCATACCTGTAACCCACGGCTTTCAAAGGAGAGAACAAAGACATGGTATCTCCATTGTCCCAGCAGCTGGGTCTTCAGCTGAGAGTTGAGTGTTTCACTTAAGCCTAGTTCACACTACATGACTAAATATTGGCAGATTGCTGTGCCGTTCTTGATTTTGTGTCTTTTAGTCGCTGTGGTTCTCATACTATGTGGCTATGTAAGTGATCCACAAGAGGGGTCACACACAGGATCTGACAACAACTCGTTCCCCAACAGCTCAGTCAAGCTACCAAACCACAGCCAATGAAATTTTGAACAGCATTTCAAGCTTTCAAGGGAGCATTTAAAAACATCCTCAATCAGCTGAGATCGGTCATCTGCACGGTGAATAAATACACACAGTTTTTTATATTTGTAATTTAATAACTCTTTGAAATAAAACTAACATATTTATAACACCCTGACGTTTTCTATATATCTGTGTATTTCTTTCTAACATTGTTGTTTTTAAATTACAAAACTTTAAAGACCAGGGGCCTGTTTCAGAAAGGAGGTTAACTGAAAACTCAGAGTATTTTAACCCTGAAATGAGAGAAACTCTGGGTTTTCCATTTCAAAATGGCAGGTTTGTTAAGCTCGAGAAAGCAGGGTAAGTCAAGCCTGTTTCTGAAAGAGAGGTAACTTTAACTCAGAGTCAGTTACTGTGGTAACTTACTCTGTGAATCTAACCTGGTCAGAAGCAGGTTTTATTCTCTAAACTCAGAGTTTCTGTCTGTCTCCTCCCCTTTTTTAAAGATGAAGCGGTATTTCTCGCCTTAGCCTTACGTTTCCACCCACCTATTTTAATGCTCATTTTGGATACGTGCATAAAAACGATTGATAGAAACGTCATGATGCACATAACTTTTTAAAATATGCATAAAAAACGTGCATAACTGAGTAGGATAAACTTTTATTCGATAGAAAATGTGCGCATAAACTACGATGGAAACACTTTTACTGAACAAATTACAGTATGTACATTAAAAAAAGATCATGATCATATGATTATGAAAATGTGTGTAAATGGACAAACCAGCAGGCTGGGCACACTGTAACATGTCTTAAATATTGTTTTAGTCATTCTAAAATGCCTTAACTGTTTCAGTATTAGTGTATATTATGAATTACCTCCGAACGTCTGGTGCGTGTCAAGAGTCTCCGCGTCTCATGGCTTCAGACGCCCCCACGTGTTCATTGTGTTTGAGGCGCAAGTACATTAATTAGGCTAAATAAAGAATTAATTGACGCAGCTTCTTCTACCACAGTAAATTCTGTTTTTACTGTTGATATTTGGTGCCAGTTTAATCAGGAAGTGACAATTTTTTTCTCTTTGACTCGTTGAATGGAATTTTATTCGCATCTTTTATGCAATATTCCAGTTTTGCACATACATTTATGTAATATATTTGGATGGAAACATAGCTATTGCCTACATTTTAGTCACACACAGAAGAACTGTACTAGAATGGCTTATGCTTTTTTAATAAATAATTAAATTCAATTCACCTTCGATATGCACTGTAACTAGATTAATGGGATTATTATTCTTTCTAAAAATTATTTTTAGTACTGCTTACCTTCTAAATGTTATATTAACCTCTATCACTTGATCAATAAAAAAGGCAGACATTTATAATAAATGTATAAAAGAAAGTTTAGAAAAAAATATATAAACGTCACAAATTACATTACTTATTTTATTATACTTAAATATTTAAATACTTAAAAAGTTAAATTAGGCATTAACTTGAGCAGCTGTTTTCCCACGCTAACTGTCTCTTCTTCACTGATGGTTGCTTCTTTTCAAATATATACACTCATATTTGCTATAACTTTGCATGAGAACATCAAGTTCAGCTGGAGAAAGAAATGGTGATCTCTTTTATAAGATATTGCCATAGTCACTCGTAATGTCTGCGCTCCATTGATAATGCCTTTTTAAAGTCACGGTGTGCTCGCTTAACTCTGAGTTGGTCTACTTGAAATTGATTGACCCAACTCAGATCAGCTGTTCTGAAACCGAAAACTCTGAGTTTTTAATCTCTCGGTAAATCAACTCAGAGTTCAAGTTTAAACTCTGAGTTGTTTGAACCTCCTTACTGAAACAGGCCCCTGAACATCTCTACCTTGTGATGAGACAAACAAAGAATAATTTTCAATGTCTCAATAAAAGTTTTGAATGTAAATATTATGTGACAATAGGATGTGTTATATGAGAATGGTCAGAATGATTCTAATAGTTACAAAATTCTAGTTCCACTGTTAATATAGCCTATTCTTGAGTTCTTGTTAGCGCAGAAAGAAGCGAGTGCATCGATGCCCATTATGGCCAATCACAGACGTTTCTGTTGCTCTCCTGAGCACACGGCCATTCAGCACATACTGATATGCTCTCTCATTGGCTGCAGCTAGTCAATACATCTGACCGCACGTGGGGTCAAGTCGGCCGACTGCTCTGGAATATTCAGCATGCTAGATATCAAATTTTTGTCTGGAGGTGTCAGCGACGCTTCAGCGAGCCTCTTTGATGCATTGTTCAGTAGTTCACACATAAAGACTGCCGAGTGCCGAGCACGTGCAAATTTTTTCAAGATCACAAAACGATCTGTCGGCGAGCTTGTTAACTTCCAAATCAGGCTTAAAATTCCGTAGTGTGAACTAGACTTTAAGCGATCAATAGTCTGACTCACTCTCCCTCATGTGCTGGTAATATACTTGCTATGATTAATTACCAGCATCTGTGGGAGCTGCACTCATAGGCATTTATTGGCCCATCTTCTTGCTCTTCAGAGTGATTGGTCATTTAGTGTTCTCCCAAAGAGTGTAGACACCACACCTCCTTCTGGAAATGTAGTTTACGGACATAAACATAAACAGGATGTTTTTTCCTAATAAAACTAATTGGAATAAAATTATTTATAACACAACAAACAAACAAACAACAATACAACAATACAAGTACATAGGAGCCCCAAACCATGCCAGCTACCCACAACGACATCTTTGATTGTTGAGTTCTTACTGTAAATTTACAACATAGATTTTATTCGATATCTGGAAGCATTTATTGTTGTAATGTAACTCATTGTAGGGGAAAAATCAACAAAAATTAAAACCAATATCCCTTTGACTGTAAATTACAACAAAAAGCAAATGTGGCATCATATGAGCATTTTGTATCACCAGTTGTGCTGTGATTACAATAGGAACGCCACCAGAGGGTGAGCAACCAGGTTACATCATCGAAAATAATGGTGATGCTCGATGGTACAAAATAAATGGACTTTTTTTGAATAATGTAAATATGTTGTGTTTTGTCTAAATATTTCAGTCTTGATAGCCAGGGTACTCTTTAAAATCAAAAGGTTCCAAATCTACCCATACTTCTGATAATGCTTAATTTTCTTTGAAATCTAACATACTGTTGATTTGTTTGTTTTCATAGCGACAGTAACATATACACCAGACTACAAGAAGACTCCTCCACCTGTCCCTCCTCGATCCACCACTAAGCCGGTGATTTCCGTTACAGCCCAGAGCAGCACAGAATCAACGCAAGATGCCTATCATGAGAGTCGGCTGCCGCGTGGCACAATCTGGGCACAGGACAGCCTTGGTCGGGTCATATACAACTCCACCGACAGCCTGGACAGCGCTAAAGCTGTGACTCTTGCAATGGAGTCCGCTTCTAAACGCCTCACATCTGCAGGGAGCTACAGCTCAGTCCAGACCTGTGACAAGGCCATCCTGGTGTCCAAAGCAGAGGAATACCTCAAGACTCCACGATCTTCCATCGGGATACAGGTGAGCCTCCTTTTTAGTAATCTGTTAGCAAATTATTTCGTAAAAGCATCATTGTTGTTCACACAATCTATTGAGTGCTTCTCAATTCCTATTTGTGCATCCTCTGTTCCTTTCCTTATGTCCTAACTTCACCACTTCCGGAAGTGGGAGAGGGACACAAGGAAAAGATGTCAGGACAGAGGGATTGACAGCATGGTCTTCCATTTGCCCTAATCCTTTCAAAAGGTTTACCCTCTGGAGTGACAGTTTTGTAAGGATTAGAGCTTAGGGATTAGACTTACCAAAAGAAATGTGCTGTTAGACACCAAACAACCATAATTTGCTGACATAGAATGACTTACAATGAATTATAGTTATATCGGTTTAATAAAAGTTACTAAATTGTCAAATTTAAAAATGGTCAAAATGACCGCCTCTAAAGTTACAGTTTTTCATCACCTTCTGGCTTATTTATGAAATGTAAAAAAGTGGCCAATGAACATATCAGTGAATGAATATGACAATTTATTTTGGCGAACCAACTAAAAATGATCCAATTCCTTCAAAGAATCACAATTTCCACCACTACACCTTATTGTCATAAAAACTGACACTGCCTCTTTGTGAACTCATTGACTTGCGTCTCGCCTCCAATCCAAAAATAGCCAGCGGCATTCAGACTGTGAGTCACCCACCCAGAAAGTGCACACAAAGACTCCTCATATAGCCAGATTCTGTGGCAGAGAAGATGAGATTGCAGATTGACCCTGAACAACAAAGATTAATGATGCCGCTTCTCTCTGTGGGCTTGTTCACACAGCAGACCAACAAGCAACCGCAGTGCACAGCTGTGGAGATGAAGAGAATATGACATCCATAAAGCTATCATTAGCAATCAAATCCACAAAGGCTGAATTAACTTATTTAGCTAAATCTAGAACTCAAACCACCCGACCGTTAAACTGCTCATCTAACAAATTCATTTGATTTTATATATGATGAAGCACGAGAAAATTATACCTGTTTTCACATCCAGATCATATGATGAGTTGATCCAGAGCTTAAGATTAATATATATTTTTACATATATTGCTCTAAGTTCTACCATTCCCTGGGAAGTCAATTCAAGACATTGGCAATGATAGCATAATTAAATATTTGAGAAGCACTTCAGAGTAATACTAACTCATAAGTCTATAGTATTCAACGATAAACATTTTTATCTAGACTCTCCGAACTATGCCTGGGTGCATTTGAGCCCCATTTCCCGGTCTGTTTGACAAGTGTAAGTGCTCCGAATCACATCTGGGCATGGTTCGGTTGGGTGGCCCTGGCCTGGTTGGAACAGGTACACATCTTGTGTGAACGCAAAGCGTGCCTGAGCGTGAAACTGAAGAAATATGAATTTATTAATTACTCTTACTTTTCAATGAATGTGAATTGTCATAGTTTATAAAAGATGTCCCACGAGGACTTTTATGATAGTTTATGAGTGTCAAAACTTGTGCATCTGTTTGGCAAAATATGTGACTTTGTCACTGCATCCAAAACAAATACAAAAATACAGAACAATTTTAAAGGGTGGTCCAGAATGAAATTTTAAGGCCTGGTTGTGTTTATAAGATGCAAAACAATGTGTGCTCATGTTTTACTTGAAGGAAATCATGTTATTTTTTTCATAAATCTAACTTTGAATATACACAGCTTTTCAGCTAACATACAAACGACTGATAATATATTTCCTAGTTGAGTAAAGGCCTGTCAAGTCACTCTGATTGGTCTCTGTCATTATGTAATGCAATTCGCAGATTGGCTCCACGTCACGCCAGTACAAGCGCATGCTTTTTTGCTGTGTAAACCTGTCAGTCAACCTCGTGCCTGCTGTCTAAAATAAAATCTGACAAGTGTATATAACAAGTAAAAATGGGGTGCGGCTCCTTTAAGAGACCTCATCCTTGTGTGTGTGTGTGAATGTGTGAACTTTCTGTTACAAGCGCATGTGCGCAGGACTTTCTTTTTCTCTGATGCTTCGATTAAAATATTTTCTATATTATATTGTGACAGAAGAATAAAGCACAAGATGTGTGATGGGACCTGTGTGAGCCTTGGTTTATTTTTCTGCTGCTACACGAGTTAGGAGAGCTGTCCTGTATTTTTTTTTAACTCAACACGTTACACGACATCTTTCACATATATCCAGAATATGCCGGTGTAAGTAATATGAATCATCCACATATCTTTTGCGACTTCATTATCTGAGATGTAAAACGCATGCAAAAGCTGCCTAAAGAGAATGAAAGCAAAGTCATGCACACACATAGAGAGACACGAACGCACTGGTGAAGTTTGACTGATAAATATGAATTTGTAGCTAAATCGTTTGTGGTGCAAATCAGCATTTCCCATTGTTTACATTGTTGCTACAGCATACCGTTAACGATAGACACTGTACATGTCATGATCAATTTTAACAAATAAAAACACTTTTACAGGTTGTAGTTCACAGCTTCTGCGTTGAGGAGATTTTAACCGAATCCAGCACCGAACTGGGAGAGATTCTGGAGCTGTTTTGTCATATCATGCTTGCTATGTATTTTATAATTCCCTGGAACATAATTAATATTGAACTGTAAGCACTTCTGTCTTGGTGTCGTGTCCTTTGGAAGCCCAAATACAGAAACAGACAAAGCTCTTTGGAAATAGCAGCGTTTAGACGCATTTTTAACTCCATCTCTGCTACGTTACATCGCCTCTGGCCACGGCCATTAGCTGCGCAGTGTGTGTGCGCGGTAAAAGAACCTTTGTGATCTCACAAGGGCTGGAAGTATTTTTTTTTTAGTCCCCAAAATTTGTTCATTGTAGGCTTTGCTAAGCTAACTCTATAAAAACTAAGATCTCCTTTTGCATTGAACTTTGAGCTTGAGATGCTGTTTATATCCACACAGCTACAATACACCACCCCAGTGGTGGACCACCCCTTTAAAAGAAATAGGTTTACTCACTTTATAGTAAAGTCAACTAATCACTTTAAAGTCTATGGGTTTGCTCACATTTTAAAAGTCAACAAATCACTTCAAAGGCAATGGGTAAACTCACTTTAAAAGTAAAGTCAACTAATCACTTCAAAGGCAATGAGTGTGCCCACATTTTAAAAGTAAAGTCAACTAATCACTTCAAAGGCAATGAGTGTGCCCACATTTTAAAAGTAAAGTCAACTAATCGCTTTTTACAGTACAGCCCTGTTGCCAGCCTGGTGAAAAGGGTGGTTCTTTTTTTCAAAAAGTAGACCTTTTTGCAGTTATTCATCTTATTTTCTGTTTAATTAGGAGGTTTAAGTACCACATTTTAGTGACATTTTAAGCACTATTTTTAGCAGGAATAGCTTGTCAGATGGTCATCATAACCACACTTTTTGATGTACCAAAACATTTGCTAAATACTTACAATAAAGAAAAAAACATTTTTATAGTTCATCAATGGCAAAAATAGCCTTTAATATGAGTTACTTTTGGTGCTTTATTATTTTTTTCTTTGAAGAATAAGGTCTAAGATTCAGAATTACTTGTAGTAAAAGATGACTTCACTTGTGTCAGATTCTATATATATATATATATTTTTTTTTTTTTTGCACAGTTGAACTAGAATTGTTTACATTTGGTGGGTTACTTTTGCAATTTATGATGGCATAGCAGTCAAAATAAGACAAACGAGCTCATGTATGGGACAAATTCAGGACCTTTTATCAGAGGGGGGTGGGTTTTTTGAACCACCCGAACCCCAAACCCCCACCACCACCCCCTGACTACAGGCCTGCAGTGTAACCATGTTTCATAAAGATGTAAAAGGCAGATAATGATAAAATATAATCATCTTAGTTACAGGTACTTCAAACAATTGTAGTATTGGATTCTCCCACTTTTTGAGTGGGGATGAATTAAGAGCATTACTGACACTTTTAAGTGAATTGACTTTTATGAAATGAAAGACGAAAGACTTCTATGTTTACAGACAGAAAGTGCATCAATAAGTCATAAACCTCCAGAGGAAGGAGGTTTGAACTCCTTTGAACTTGCTTAAAATTCATCACTATGTTCATGATGCAACTTACAGAGTCTCATTAGTCTGGATTTTAAAAAGACTAGCTGTCACTGCCAACGTTTATTAAGCATCCCCCCAAAAAAAAGAATCAAAGGAAGGTGAATATTTTATATAAAAAAAAAACCTTACGCTTCGCAATAAACCCTGTTTTCAATGATTGGTTACAGTCTGGAAAAGTATGGTGAACTGTAACTGCTTACTCTGTCTTCATTCATTGGGCTCTTGAGCGAACAGCTTTAGGGGTTTTCCTTACAGTAAGTGTTACAGTAAATTGCTTCAGATAACAGAGTGTCTGGGAAATGACAGCTCTTTAATAAAAGGCTCATATGTGCCTCTGAGCTGTTGTTTTCTCATCTGGGTCTGTCCTAATGTGTCTACATTACCCGCAGGACATTGTATAACTGTAGCAATATTACATTATGGTGTAAGTATATTGCTCTGGCACTTATATTCATTGCTGGGTGAAGAACACAAATTACAGTAAGAAGTGAAGTTGAGGCACAGATTGCCTTAAAAAAATTACCCCAGTAAAGGTATTATGTATTCCTTTTCAATTTGATCAGTTTGGGGTATTTATCAAAGATTTTGTTATTAATGTCCTTTTACACATTTGAACTTACACATTTTATTGTGTTGTTACATGTGTGTAGTTACACCAATATTACACAAGTAAATACTATGTACCAACGTGTACACACTGTACACTGTAGTTACATACTACTTACACCTCCAGTTACCATGTAAGTTCACAGGAATAAGCGACGCTTAATATAAAGTGGGTCCAAAAATTGTCCTAATTTTTCTGGAATTAGGGTTGTAGTTTACGACTCAATATGTGGGTTTTTTTCCCACAAAAATATCGCAAAAAGACAAAAAAAAGTTTTATATGTTTTTCTGACTTATGTGGCATTATCCCAAATGTTCAAATCCAGAAAAATAAGCAACTTTAATTGACACAGACTATGTTTTGTGTGTTCATGCTAATGACATCACACATTCTCGATTTCTTGTTTGGTTTTATGGAAAACAGGAAAACCCCAAAAAAGCTTTACTAATATTGTATTGAATACTTAAGCTCATCCATAAGCATAATTTCTGTAGAATGTAACGAAGACCACAACTCACATGAATCTACACTTATGGTATCATCAAATTAGCCTTTGTTTGTTGTTAATACTTGCCCTCTAGTGGCAAAAATTACATACTGTGCCTTTAAATACTTTTGGCACAAATTATTCTTTTTTGCTTATGGAAATACACTTTTGTGTGTACTGTCAAATACATGTGTATGTTTTTTTTTAAGTGAAATCTTAACATTTTTTGGTGAAATTGTCAATTTGTAAGGTAGTAAGTAAAACTACATTAACACAGCTTTCATGTTGTTGGAACCAGTGATGTTATTTTCTGCGTTGGAAGGGAGTAAGAAACTCTTCATTTTTCATTTGCCTTGCTGTGAAGTTACATGGGAACTTCTTTAGCTAGTGGTTTCAAAATAAAGAACTTGGGTTTTATCAAAATTAAATTCAACACGGTAACCGAGTTTGCAGGAAAATTTCTTGGAAAAATGTGATGAATTCTGATTTTTGAAGTAATTGGTATGAAAATTATAGTGATTTATTTAACTGGATCAGGCTTAATGCAGTGTACATGATCTCAGTGATGTTCTTGGCCGCATAATTGCAGCTTGCAGCTATCTCTTCTCTTCGGTTAACCTCAGATGCTCAGTAGTATTGTAGATTTATACATTCTCCTTCTGACTTTTCATCACTTAATATCTTCTTTTGCTTTTTCTTCCTTTAGGTGGAAGCTGCCACAGATTCTGAGACAGATAGTAAAGGTCTCCCGCAGTATCATTCTGTGGGCATCCAGGTAGAGGACGAGAAGAGGTAAGTTTATTGATCCATTATATACAGTACAGGACATTTCATTTACAGAACTAAACATGTTAATACCTTTTAAAATCAGTAGCTCTTCAAGATGTCACATGCTGAAATGTTTTTAAAAATATTTACAGTTTAGCACGCTGCTAGCATGTTTTAACAAGTGGTTAGCATGATTTTTAGAGCTTTCGCACTGTTCTTGACATGGTTTTTATGTACTGCTATGTTTTAACCTTTTGTTAGCATCTTTATACTAGATGGGTTGAGACCATAATTAGCTGGTGGTCAGTTAAAAGACTTGCTGAACACAAGCTTGACTATCTGAGATGAACTTGACAAGGAGACCACCTAAAACCAAATACTTGCTATATATATATATATATATATATATATATATATATATATATATATATATATATATATATATATATATATATATATATAAATATATACAGTACAATAAAGTACACCCAGACAGTTGTTTTCACAGAATAATGTCCTTTAGTCTTATATAACAGTGCTCCCTTTCACATCAGGTCACCAATAAGCCTGTCTGGGATTATTCTGTGATAACAACTGCCTGGAGGTACTTTATCCTGCTTACTACATGGCTACTTGCGATTAAGTACAAGCATCCCAGGAGGACTTAAACTCAGCATCAATTTGAATTTCTTGAGCCAATATAAAACAAGATTGTGAAGAGATGGATATATATGAATTGCACTTTTCTGAGTGTAAGCACATAAACTGTTTGTTAATATTGTCATTCTGTTCACTTTCAGACTTGGACGCTTTAAACGGTCTAACAGTGTGACGACGGCAGTTCAGGCAGATTTGGAAATGGAGGGTTTTCCTTCAACCGAAGACAAGAGTTTGCAGTTTGGAGGTTTTCAGAGACATTCTGAACCCAGTACACCTACACAGTACAATGTGGTTCGGACTGTACGCACACAGGGTCTCTTTAGTTATCGTGAGGACTACCGGCCCTCCAGCGGGCCGCCCAGCCCGCAGCCCGAACCCTGGCTGGTGGAACCTGCTCATGAAGCAGCTGAGTCGGGCCGTGTGTCTCCGCTCCGCCGCGACGGCAGCTGGTTCATGCAGCTTCTGCACAGTGAAACCAAACGATTGGAGGGATGGTGTAAAGACATGGAGAGAGAAGCAGAGGAGCACGACCTGTCAGAGGAAAGTGAGTGTGCAGGACAACCAAAAACAGATGATGAATATAAACAAAACAATCCCATAGCTGCTCTTAACTAGTTTACAACCTAGGCTCATAAAAAAAATATTTAGCTACAGCAACATTTTTTGCACTTTCATACATTACACTTTTCATGGCAGTTTCAAATTGATGATTTAAATTTTTTGTTTTGTTTTTTGTTTTTTTGGCATTAGCATTGATTGTGCTTAACATAGAAGTTTTAGTTAATTGAAACAGTGTCAAAAGTAAATTTCTATTGTCTAAACGTCCCTCAGGAATATTTTTTTTTTTTAGTTTACAAATTCTATTCATTTACAAGACTTGCTCTATGTAAAAAAGTGTTTGAGATAACTTTGAGATACTAGTGTGAAAGCAAGTCTTTATGGATTTGCTTGAGGAATTGTTAAAAGAGCACACATTGTTTTACTGTCTGTAGAATTTATTTTTAGCACTTTTTATTTATTTGTTTATTTTTTATTTTTTGCAATCCTTTTGGTGGAGACATGTATTTCCAATGAGCCTGTGTACTGAAAATCAAAGTTGAGGTCTCTAGGGCACTTGTGCAGTGCAATGTTGATGCAGTAGGCTACACATAATTCGAGAAATGGATATTGAAGCATGTAAAACCACTGGCTGTACTGGCTGTATGCTCATTAATCTTAGTGTTATAAATATATAATATTAAATATTATATATTATAAATAGTTGAAGTCAAAATTAATGTTTATTTTTTCCTCAATTTTTTTAACGAACAGAAGAATTTTTCAACACATTTCTAAACATTCTAGTTTTAATAACTCATTTCTACTAAACTGTTTTTTTTATCTTTGCCATGATGACAGTAAATAATATTTTACTAGATATTTTTTCAAGACACTTCTATACAGCTTCAAGGGACATTTAAAGGCTTAATTAGGTTAATTAGGTTAACTAGGCAGGTTTGGGTAATTGGGTAAGTTGTTGTATAATGATGGTTTGTTCTGTTGAGTATCAAAAATATATAGCTTAAAAAGGCAAAAAAAATTGACCTTACAATGGCATTTAAATAATTAAAAACTCTTTTACTCAAGCCGAAATAAAACCATAAGACTTTCTCAAAAAGAAAAAAATATTATCAGACATACTGTGAAAATTTCTTTGCTCTGTCAAACATAATTTGGGAAATATTTGTAGAAATAAAACAAATTCAAAGTGGGGCAAATAATTCTGTATTCAACTGAATATAAATATATATATATATATATATATATATATATATATATATATATATATATATATATATATATATATATATATATATATATATATATTTATTTACTCTGTTTTTAGCTCATGTTAACTGTTCTGCGATGAGCTTCTATTTATTCAGACAAAAATTGATGTAACTAGTGACAACTGCAAATTTTAGCTGCCTCTTAAACAGGGCTAATCATATAAGAAGTTACCACAAGTTATCAGATTAACACTGATAACTGGGAGGATCTAAAAGTGATCTTTAAATTTGATTGGTTTTATACTGTTCAGGACATGTAAAACTCATAAAATATGTGAACAGCTGTTAGATTAAATTTATATATGAATAAAAATCTGGAAAGTATTTATTGTTCTCAAATTTTGATCTTTGCTGTGTATGTATCATTGTTTTAAACCTTATATTGTTTTGCAGTTCTCGGGAAGATCCGGAGTGCTGTGGGCAGTGCTCACCTCCTCATGTCCCAAAAATTCCAGCAGTTTTACTGGCTGTGTCAGCAAAATCTGGTATGTGGCATTTCTGTGATCCCCATGAGATAAACAGTACATTAATGCTCCTTTTTGCCTCTTGACATGCATCAATTATGGACCAGTTCTGTCATGAAGGATGCAGCATGCCTCTTGACATACATCTTATCAAAAAAGAGTGTTTACACCAAAAAATATAAATAAAAGAAGCAAGCAATGTAAGATTAAATATTAGATTGCATGTTGTTGTATTTGCATAACAATATTTATACAGAACATAATACCTTTTCACCTTACAAATCAGGATATACTCTGCCTGACAAAAGTCTTGTCATCAATCTCAGCTGTAAGATCATTAAATAATAACTTGACTTCTAGTTGACCATTTAGAAACAGCAGAAGGTAGATTTTTCCACCCACATTGGGACCCACATGGACCCAAAATTCTCACAGAAATCAGTCAAGAAAAAAATAATGGTTTAGGGTTACATTCAGGAGGGGGGCATGTGAGAGATCTGCAGAGTGGATGGCAACATTAACAACTTGAGGTATCAAGACATTTGTGCTGCCCGTTACATTAAAAACCACAGGAGAGAGCAAATTCTTCCGCAGGATAGCACTCCTTCTCATACTTCAGCCTCCACATCAACGTTCCTGAAAGCAAATAAGGTGCTCCAGGTTTGGCCAGCCCAGTCACCAGAAATGAACATTATTGAGCATATCTGGGGTAAGATGGAGGAGGAGGCATTGAAATGAATTTAAAGAATCTTTATGAACTCTGGGAGTCCTGCAAGGATTGAATTGAATTTTATTTTATTTGATAGATTTTCAAAAATACAAGTATCCCATACATTTTGAAATAAAAACAGTTGAGTATAAAACACAGTAAAGCCAGATGTGGGATACACAATAACAACTCTTTTTCCACTGCAGCATGACTTTATATTCTACTGGTTATATTTATGTTAAGTTAAGTGACAAGACTTTTGTCTAATTAAAGCCAGACCTTACTGTCCTAATTAAATAATTAAAAATCAAGGCATAATTATATTTTATTTTGGTAAAATTAGAAATGATGATTTGTTGTTCCTAAAAATTGTCATTTATGACATTTATGAGTCATTTATGTAGAATTGAGATTGAAAGATGATGTGTGGGTTAAAAAGATAGGATAATAGTAGCCCAAGATATTATTATTATTATTATTATTATTATTATTATTATTATTATTATTATTATTATTATTATTATTATTATTATTATATGAGTATCTGTAATGTGAGTGTACAAAAACCTTCGCCTTTAAAGTAGTCTAAATAAAGTGCTTAGCAATGCAAATTACTAATCAGAAGTGTAGGTTTGATAGCCTATATTTACAGCAGGACATTTGCAAAATATCTTAATGGAACATGAGCTTTAGTTAACATGCAAATTATGTTTTAGAAAAAAGAAAATCAATCGTACAAACTTTTATCATTTCTTTTTCTTTTTCTTTTTGCCATTGACTGGTTTTGTGGTCCAGGGCCTAATATTAATTTACAAATGAAATGTGAGAAAGTATACATACACTGAAAAAAATGTCCATTAATTAACAGATATTTTGTGATTCTCAGGGTTTTATTTAAAGTTATGATTTATATTATGGGACATTGAGGTCTGCTTTATCTGCTTTAAACTTTTACAGTTCACAGTTCGAAAGTGACTTTTATTGACATATTAGTAGTTTGAAACAATATATTGTAAAAGAAATAATAAACATAGAATTAAATCTGTAAAATAACAGAAAACATACTGCCAGTTTACAGTTAAAGGCTTTTGTACCATATTTTACAACAGAATTAAAGACAATATATGACTTCATACTATTAAAAACATCAACAAATTAAAATTTATATAACCTTTTAACATCAAAATATAATGCCATAATAAAATTTAAAACCATTAATTATTGTAAAAAAGTCGCAAGCTTACGAAAAATGTACAGATATTTTTCTACAGTGTGTATTGAATATTTTTTGCTAACTAAACATATCCAGCCTTGTTTCGTTGTAAAATATTGTTTAAATAGGTTTTGTTGGTCTAGTTGACTCAATTACACAGATTAGTTGCCAAGTCAGCTTCACTAACTATAATTTTAGCCTGAAAAAAAAAAGCTTTAACCAGTATCAAGCTGTGTTAGAGTAAAAGCTCTTGACGTTAATTGGTGTTTGGTGGGTTGAATGACACTTTAAAGGGTTTGTTTAGTGGACAGTGATTGTGTCTGGATCTCTCTCTCTCTCTCTCTGGAGACTGTGAAATGATGGATGTTGTAATACATTTGCAGGGACAGGCAGAGACCAGCTTGTCTTCTCTATGAGCTTTCCAACTGACTGAACAGTTCAGCTTAACATTGTAAACAAAGAGGAGGAGATGTAGCCGGAATAACTAAAGCAGATGTTTTCTTTATAACTGAGAAATGGTTCAGTCTATCGTTCAAAGGTTCTACATCTGCGTTTATTTTTATTTATTTTTTTGGTTCTATTCTTTGAGGTCCACTTATAATGTTATCAAGACTTGATTAATATCCAAATATATAATAATTAAAGAAACAGTACACTTTTTTTAATAACTTCCCTGGAATTAAACAGTTGAGTTTTATCATTTTTTAATCCATTCGGCCAATCTCTGTTTCTGGTGGAAGCACTTTTAGCTCAGTTTAGCCTAATTCATTGAATCGGATTAGACCATTAGCTTCTCACTGAAAAAAAAAATAAAATAAAATGAGACAATTTTCTTATTTAAAGCTAGACACTTCTGTTACAATGTGTAACAGAATACTATGAGTGGCGGAAAAAGTTAGGAACAATTCTCTCATTCTGGCATAATAATCAAGGAACTTGATACCATGGCTGCACCTGAAAACAGTCCACAGCTTGGTAACTAGGTACTGCAACAGTGCTGCATAATATGATTGCGCTTGCTGCAGCTGTAGAATTTTGCTTTCTTAGTTCGCAAGAGTTTACAGAATATAATGTGTATAGTTATTTTTGCATATAAATATAGAATTTGCAGTGAAATATATATTTTATAAAAATACAGTATATAAAATAATATATTTTATAGAAAAAAATATAGAGCTTAGCATTTAGATATCTTCATTAAAATATATATACAATTTCTTATTATTTTTTAGATCAATCTTTTTGTCTGTGCCTTTTCAGTTGATGTGTGAATTAAATTTTTGAGTATTAGCTGAATGAATAATATCTATCTATCTATCTATCTATCTATCTATCTATCTATCTATCTATCTATCTATCTATCTATCTATCTATCTATCTATCTATCTATCTATCTATCTATCTATCTATCTATCTATCTATCTATCTATCTATCTCTCTATCTGTCTATCTGACGGTCTGTTTGTCTATCTATCTATGTATCTGTAGCTGAAAGTTTGCAACTATAGTATTCCTTCATTCATTAATTCATTCATTTTCTTGTCGGCTTAGTCCCTTTATTAATCCGGGGTCGCCACAGCAGAATGAACCACCAACTTATCCAGCATGCTTTTACGCAGCGGATGCCCTTCCAGCCGCAACCCTTTTCTGGGAAACATGCACACACACTCATTCACATTCATATACTATGGACAATTTTACCCAATTCACCTATACCACATGTCTTTGGACTGTGGGAGAAACTGGAGCACCCGGAAAAAACCCATGCAAACGCAAGAAGAACATGCAAACTCCACACAGAAACGCCAACTGACCCAGCTGAGGCTCGAATCAGCGATCTTCTTGCTGTGAGGCTACAGCACTACCTACTTCGCCACTGTGTCGCCCTGCAATTATAGTATAGTTTGCAATTGTTGAAAGAAAGAGCCTCTGAAATGAATAGATAAATAAAAAAAAATACACACCGTTGACAAATTTTTTACCCAAGTGCTGTTTGACAGAGAGAGAAAAAAAATCTCAATTACATATTTATTTAGAAATTTGTCATGACTGTACATAATATTTTACTCATAATTTAAAAAAAAAAAAAAAAACTGGTGTTTATTGTGCTATATTGTGCAGATGGCAACAGTCTGCCTTTCACAATTCATCGTTTGGATAGTACATGTTGAAAGTGAAATTGTATTACAGTGACCTCTAGTGTTTACTTATTTTATTTGATTAATTTGTGCCACTTGGTATAGTGATTAATTAGGATCAGGGTATTTATGTAATTTACATTACACCTTTTGTCAAGTAAATAACTAATAATATTACATAACTAATAATAATAACTATTAATAAACAAATGATTTTGCTCAAAAAATTGTGCTCTTGCAATAATAATAATAATTGTCTATGTATATAACAATAATAATATTACCGTTAAATAACATAATACTTATGAATACATTTATAAATAATATCTGTCCTGCACAATCACCATAACACAAGGCAGAATAATAACTAGCCTAACTGCATCATTTCACACTGCTCAAAGCATTACATTTTTGCACTCTAACTAATAGATTTTTGGGTTACACTTTACACTTAGTTTACAGTAGTTAATATTAGTTAAACTTTTTACCAACATGAACTAAAAATGATCAAAACTTGTACAGCAGTTAAACATTTGCTAAGGGATTATTAACATCCAAATTCAGCCTTGTTAACATTAGTTCATACAATGTGAGTTAACACAGTTAACTAACTAACGAGTGACCTTATTTTCATTAACTAACATTTAAGCTGAGGTCACACTGCACTTTACTCCCCATAGAACTTCATTCATAAGCATGTGAATGCGTCAGACTCGAAATGCTAGCTCATGTGTTTTAGTTCGCTGAGTTGTAAAGTTCAAGTTTGGTGAACTCTATCATGGACCAATCACTCGCTTTTTTAATGTCTAATCATTTCGTTTTATACTACAGATTTTCGCAAGCTTAAACTCTAGTGTGACAGAGCTGCATGATTCTGGCTGGCTAAACTGAGAATCTCGATTTTTTTTTGCTTAAAATCAAAATCATGATTTCATGACTTTTTCTCATGATTTTCTTCATGTAAAAAAGGGTTAATATAAGTAGGCTATTATTAGTGTTATTCCTAAACAAATAATAATAAAATTATTTGTAGATTTACTGTTGATTAAAATGCTAGATTTAGTATAAATTTCAGCATACAATACTCATAAATCTGATGTTGAATAATTAAGTTTGAGACATATGCTTGCAATTTGTCATTGACAACATTATTAGACCATTTTTTTCTTCTGGTAAAATTAGACATTTGTCATTATCAGATTCCCTCTTGCATTATACTCAACATTATATAGGCTAGAATAGTTATGCTGACACTGTTAAACATTTATTTTCATGCACAACCCTTTATGTTTGCTATGAAAGAAAAACATATTAAATGCTTGTCGCAATCATAACTTTAAAATGCAATTGATTATATAAATTATGTGCATGCTTTCGGTTTCATTTTCACTTAGTGCAGTTTATACTTCTCGCTCGGCTCCTAAATGATCGCTCTGTGCCACAAACTGAAAGTTATTTACAACTTTTTATTTTATTGTAAAGTGTTCACAATTTTTGTTCAAATCAATAGTCTTGGCTTCCTCAGTTTGTTCTCAAATTGGTGATTTCACTTGGCCACTAAGCGGAATGCTGTTAGGATGTGGGAATCCAGGAAACATGAGAATCCAGGAAGAACGCGATTCATTTTATGGACCCACACTTAAAAAAAAAAATGGACAATTTTCTGTATTTTGTCATACATGTTTTTTTTAATTATTATTATGATTATTATAAGTTATTTTTGCTTCTTAATTGCATTGTGGGACCTTGATCTTTCTCCCAATTTGGATATTTAAATTTTGAAAAAAGTTATTTTATTGTTTTTTTAACAGTTTAATTTGAAGATATATTGTTTGGTTTGATGTTGTAAATTACGATACAATATACCTGCCTGTAATAAACTGCCTGTACTTTTAAACTGCCTATTATTTTACAGACTTAATTCTCTATATATTATACATTATATAACATTTAAAACCACTAAAACTAAATCACTAAACTTCATTCCTCACCCTACAGCCCAAGACAAGTCCCTCACTAAAGCTAAGCAGGGTTAAGCCTAGTCAGTACCTGGATGGGAGACCACATGGGAAAGCCAGGTTGCTGTTGGAAGTGGTGTTAGAGAGGCCAGCAGGGCGAGCTCAACTTGCAGTCTGTGTGAGTCCTAATGCCCTAGTAAAAAGTGAAGGGCACACGATACTGTCAGTGGGCGTCGTCTTTCAGATCAGACGTTAAACCGAGGTCCTGACTCTCTGTGGTCATTAAAAATCCCATGGCACTTCTCGTAAAGAGTAGGGGTGTAACCCCAGTGTCCTGGCCAAAGTCCCTCAATCGGTCCTTACGATTATGGCCATCCCCATCCACTGAATTGGCTTTGTCACTGTCTCTCCACACTACCAATAGCTGGTGTTTGGTGAGCGCACTGACGTCGTTGTTCTGTGGCTGCCATCGCATCATCCTAGTGGATGCTGCACGCTGGTGGTGTTGTTGAGAGACCCCCCACCCCTCATGATTGTAAAGCGCTTTGGGTGTATGGCCATACACAATAAATGCGCTATATAAATAGACATTACATTACATTTAGTAAAAGTTACTTGAAAAAACACACAGATTTCCAAGTACTGGGTTGTGGCTGGAATGATTTGTTCTGCTGTGGTGACCTCTGATAAATAAGGAACTAAGACGGAGGAAAATTAATGAATGAATAAAACATACAGTTGAATGCTCATTATCAAAAGTTGAAAGAGCAGAGTTCAACATCCCATGATACAATTCCTACCGTAAATAAAACTGTAAGTCATGAAATCTGCAACCTGCTAATAAACAGAATTTTTTTACAGTGTAAGATCAAGGTTGTGTAAACATCTGAGCAGAGTTGTAACTTACTGTTGTTTGTATGAGATATAAAGTGCGTGTGTGTGTGTGTGTGTGTGTGTGTGTGTGTGTGTGTGTGTGTGTGTGTGTGTGTGTATGTGTGTGTGCACAGGACCCCAGTGCGATGCCCCGGCCCACGGCTCAGGATCTAGCTGGATTCTGGGACCTCCTACAGCTCTCCATTGATGATGTCACTGCCAAGTTTGATGAGCTACAGCAAATCAAGAGCAATGATTGGAGGTTAATGGACAGCCCAGAGAAGAAGGTAAGAGAGTCATGGAAATTATGTGACATTGAAGACAGGAGTGAATATCCTGAAAATATCTAGCTTAGGAAGCAAATATTAATTGATTTATTAAAAAAGATCTTTAATTTCTCTACAAAAATATAAAAAATCTACTTTGAACCACAATAGCTTATCGTAAAATTGCTCAGCTCACTGTGCAATTTTTAATAATCCTAAATGATTGTAGTATGTCAGACTGCACAAACAGGACTCTCATGTCCCACTGTTGAATCTCAGCAGTCATAATGTCAGACTGAATGACAATGAAGCCATGCCAAACACAGAAGAAAACTCACCTGGAGTTTGACGCCATCCATCCATGACACTTTCACTATTACTAGAGAAATGTGAAGTGTGACACAAATAAACATAATATATATTCACATATTACACTCTAAAATGCCATTTGAATGAAACAGTGGTTACGGAAAGTATTTAGACGCCCTTAAATTGTTCAACTTTTTGTTATATTGCAGCCATTTGCTAAAATTATCATCAGTTCATTTTTCCCCTCATTAATGTACACATAGCACCATACTGTATATTGACAGAAAAACTGATTTTTTAACATTTTTGCAGATTTATTAAAAAAATAAAATCTGAAATATTACATGGTCCTCTATTATATTATTTTATAATATTATATATTGTATTATTATATAGTTTCCCTGAGATGGGTTGCAGCTGAAAGGGCATCCACTGCATAAAACATATGCTGGATAAGTTCATTACGCTGTGGCAACCGCAAATTAATAAAGGAACTAAGTCAGAAAGAAAATGAATAAATGAATGAATATTATTATATTATATTTTATTATATAACATTTTATTATATATTGTATTATATTAAATTATAAATATAATAATATATAATAATATATTATATTATATTATATTATATTATATTATATTATATTATATTATATTATATTATATTATATTATATTATATTATATAGACTCTTTACTCTGTATTTAGTACAGCACCCTTTTGGTCTAATAGAGCTTTGAGTGTTTTTGGAAAAAATGAAAGTTTCTCACACCTGGATTTGGGGATCCTCTGCTATTCCTCCTTGCAGATTCTCTCCAGTTCTGTCAGGTTGCATGGTAACAGCGTTGATGGAAAGCCATTTATAGGTGTCTTCAGAGATGCTCAATTGAATTTAAGTCAGGGCTCTGGCTGGGCCATTCAAGAACAGTCTTTTAATTGTTGTGAAGCCACTGCACAGCTGCACATTATTTAGCTGTGTTCTTAGGGTCATTGTCTTGTTAGAAGGTAAACCTTTAGCCCAGTCTGAGGTCCTGAGCACTCTAGAGAAGGTTTTCATCCAGCATATCCCTGTACTATTCATCTCCCCCTCGATTGCAACTAGTCGTCCAGTCCCTGCAGTTAAAAACTGCAGTGATGATTGACTTCCTACAACTTTCTCTCATCTCCCGACTGCATCTCTGGAGCTTAGCCACAGTGATCTTTGGGTTCTTCTTTACTTCTCTCACCAAGGTTCTTCTTCCCCGATGGCTCGGTTTGGCTGGACTGCTAGTTCTAGGAAGGGTTTTGGTCATCCCAAAGATCTTCCATTTAAGGATTGTGCAGGCCACTGTGCTCATACAAACCTTAAGTGCAGCAGAATGTAAATTCTTTGTAATCTTGGCCTGATCTGTGCCTTGCCACAATTCTGTCTCTGAGCTTATCAGACAGTTCTTTTGACCTCATGATTCTCATTTGCTCTGACATGCATTGTGATCTGTAAGGTCTTATATAGACATGTGTGTGGCTTTCCTAATCAAGTCCAATCAGTATGATCAAACACAGCAGTACTCAAATGAAGGTGTAGAATCATCTCAAGGATGAACAGAAGAAATAGACAGCACATGAGTCATTTATATGAGTGTCACAGCTAAATTTGTAAATACCTAGGACCATGTGACATTTCAGTTTATCTTTTTTTAAATAAAACTGCAAAAATGTCAACAATTCTGTGTTTTTCTGTCAATATGGGGTGCTGCGTGTACATTGAGAAAAAAAATTAACCAATGCTTTTAGCAAATGGCTGCAATAAGAGTGAAAAATTCAAGGGGGTTTGAATATTTTGCATACCCACTGTATATGCTTCCTTCAAGTTGAAACCATGATAAAATATCCTGTGAAGTCCATTTTGCTGGGAACTTCTGACATGAAAAGAGATGTCTGACATGAAAAGAGACACATACAAAATGTAGAGAGCTGTGGGTCATGAGGACCCAGGATTAAGAAACCATTCTAGATTAACAAGAAAGTTTTGAGTTCTGAAACATAAAAGAGGTTTTTATAGTACAACAACCTCTTATATGCCAAAAGATTAAGTAAATTTTAATTTCTCAGTTCATTACCTCTTTATTTTCAGATAAACAAAGAAACAGTATACGATGATAAACTCTATTCTCCTCCTCAGGAAAGAAAATGGCCGCCTCCTGTTACAAAGAGACCTCCTAAAGGTCGCGGAGCCATCATGCGTGAGCGTTCGCTGGATCTGCAGGACCGTCAGAGGCAGGAGGCTCGCCGCAGGCTCTTGGCTGCTAAACGGGCTGCCTCTTTCCGTCAGAGCTCCGTTACAGAGCGAGCCGACAGCATAGAGATCTACATCCCTGAAGCCCAAACACGCTTATGAAACACACACATGCTACGCTTCACCAACAGGGTACATCCATTCTGCTCCATCCTCTGGTCTGTTACGCGTTTTCTTCCTGTTCATCATCTACTCTGAGCTGAGAAGAGTGGTGAGTTTATATATGCCTCAAACAGAGCTCAACGGGAAGAGGTGCAGCTCCGACACATGCAGCTACTGCCACCTGGTTTGTGTTTCAGTTCATTCAGAGGACAAAACTAAGGCTTTGTTCACACTGCACACAAATCCGATTAAATTTTTACAATCGATTAAATGACGCAATGTTTCCAAGTGTATGAAAATCAGGAAAATATAAATGACTGTGTACTTAAAGGGTCAGTTCAACCAGAAATATCAATTCTATTATTAATTACTCACCTTCAGACCTTCTTTCACATTCGCAAAGCAAATTACAATGTTGTAGTTGAAATTCAAAAGCTCTCTCATTCTCCAAAAAAGATTTTGTGCACCAAAAAAACTGTAAAAGTGACTTTGTTTGCTAATGTTATCCACCTCAAAGTCAGGATGCACTTGTACTATGGGCATTACGATGCTAAAATGTTGTGCTGCTGACTCTAATGAGATTAAATCTACGTTTTCAGCAAGATGCCGCTGTACGCATCAGTTATTAACATCTACACCTACTCCACACTCAAACCCAACCATCACAGTTATTAACTTCTACACCTACTACAAACCCTAACCCAACCATCACAGTTATTAACTTCTACACCTACCCCAAACCCTAACCCAACCATCAAAGTTATTAACTTCTACACCTACCCCAAACCCTAACCCAACCATCAAAGTTATTAACTTCTACACCTACCCCAATCCTAAACCCAACCATCACAATTATTAACTTCTACACCTACCCCAAACCCAAACCCAACCATCAAAGTTATTAACTTCTACACCTACCCCAAACTCTAACCCAACCATCACAATTATTAACTTTTACACCTACTCCACACTCAAATCCAACCATCACAGTTATTAACTGCTACACCCACCCCTGACCCAACCATCACAGTTATTAACTTCTACACCTACCCCAAACCCTAACCCAACCATCAAAGTTATTAACTTCTACACCTACCCCAAACCCTAACCCAACCATCAAAGTTATTAACTTCTACACCTACCCCAATCCTAAACCCAACCATCACAATTATTAACTTCTACACCTACCCCAAACCCAAACCCAACCATCAAAGTTATTAACTTCTACACCTACCCCAAACTCTAACCCAACCATCACAATTATTAACTTTTACACCTACTCCACACTCAAATCCAACCATCACAGTTATTAACTGCTACACCCACCCCTGACCCAACCATCACAGTTATTAACGTCTACCCCTACCCCAAACCCTAACCCAACCATCACAGTTATTAACGTCTACCCCTACCCCAAACCCTAACCCAACCATCGCAGTTATTAACTTCTACACCCACCCCAATCATAAACCCAACCATCACAGTTATTAACGTCTACATCTACCCCAAACCCTAACCCAACCATCATAGTTATTAACTTCTACACCTACCCCAATCCTAAACCCAACCATCACAGTTATTAACTTCTACACCTACCCCAAACCCTAAACCCAACCATCACAGTTATTAACATATACATCTACCCCACCCTTAACATAACCATCAGATATTAATATCTATACCTACCCCAACCCTAAACCCAACTCTCACAGTTATTAATGTCTACATCTACCCAACCATAATCCTAACCATCACAGTCAATAACTTTTACATCTACCCTAACCCCTAACCCAACCATCAGTTATTAACATCTAAACTTACCCCAACCCTAAACCCAACCCTCACAGTTATTAGAATCTACATCTACCTCAGCCCTTAACCTAACCATCAGTTATTAACGTCTATACCTACCCCAAACTTAAAGCCAACCATCAGTTATTAACGTCTATACCTACTCCAAACTTAAAGCCAACCATCAGTTACTAACATCTATACCTACCTAAATCCTAAACCCAACAATCACAGTTATTAACGTCTACACTTATCACAACCCCTAACCCAAACATCATAATTATTAACGTCTACACCTTCCCCAACCCTAAACCCAACCATCATAGTTATTACCGTCTACACCTACCCCAACCCTTATCCCAACCATTAGTTATTAACGTCTAAACCTACCCCAATCCTAAACCCAACCATCAGTTATTAAACTCTACACTCACCCCAATCCTAAACCCAACCATCAGTTATTAACGTCTACACTTACCCCAACCCTAAACCCAACCATCAGTTATTAACCTCTTCACCTACCCCAACCCTTATCCCAACCATCAGTTATTAACGTCTACACCTACCCCAACCCTAAACCCTAACCATCAGTTATTAACGTCTACACCTACCCCAACCCTAAACCCTAACCATCAGTTATTAACGTCTACACCTACCCCTACCCTAAACCCAACCATTAGTTATTAACGTTTACACCTACCCCAACCCTAAACCCAACCATCAGTTATTAACGTTTACACCTACCCCTACCCTAAACCCAACCATCAGTTATTAACGTTTACACCTACTCCAACAATAAAAACAAAAGTTGCAGTTATTAACGTACAGTCACAATTGGTGGAGGCTTTCAATAAATCTAAAGAATTAGTTGTGGATGTTTTTGGAGAAAACTAATGAAAAAAATGCTGAAAATGCTCTCTGTTAAGTATTTCTGCCATCTTGCCAACAACATCTCATTGTGACATCTCAATGGTTCAATGAGATCTCGATAACTGCAAGTTATGCCTCTCTAATTTACTACAAGTTGCGCACGGTCATGTTATGCCCCTGTCTTGCAGTACGCAGACAGATACACCAATTGCCTGTAGTTAACTCACACACACTCTGAATTAATGTGACAGAAGACATTGATGAACAAAGTTGTTTTTACAGTTTTTAGCACACGAAACTCCAAATGTTTTTGGAGCTTGACATGATTACAGTTAAACCAATCACATGGAATGTTTTCCGTTCATTCATCTCGGGACCTTTGTTGTCTATGAAGGATAAAAGAGCTCTCTGATTTCATCTAAAATATTTTAATTTATGTTCTAAACATAACAAAGAGGTTTGGAAATTGAGTAAGCTGAGTAATTAATGACAGAGTTGTAATTTTATGTTAACCAACCCTTTAATAGTTGTATTGAGGAGAAGAAACTACAATTCCACGAAGCAATGCTAATGACAAAATCAAATTAAAAGTGCCAGAGATATTCTATTATTTATATACATTTAAGTAAAGTTGAAATTTGCTGTTTTTTATATATACAAGTAATTAGTTGTATCTATAGAAAGAACAAAAAAAAAGTATATACGCAAGCATTTTCTAAGTGTAAGGTCTGTCTTTAATGGTGTACCAAATATCATTAAAAATATATTTCCCTATGGAGAAAAGAAATTACTTTAATTTATGGAACCTGACAGACGGCTCTATTAATTATGCAAAAGAATGCTAATTTTCCCAAAAGAACACAGTTTTGTGAGGGATTTTTGCAAACGAATGCAATATAAAATGTGACATTGTCTCCATAAAATTCGACATTTTATGGTTAAATAATTGAAAGAAAAAACGCTTGTAAGGTGATACTTATTTTATTTTAACATTGAGATGTTCTTCAATAAATTGTCATTTAGTTTCAATCAACAAAAGGATAAGTAAAAGTCGGATATTGCTACATGTCTGAACAAAGTCAAAGTTTGAGCCTCAGAATAGGCACAGTTAGGACTTTTTATTCAGAAAATTTGCTCTAAAGCACTGGCACAAAACTCTTGTCACAGCATCATCATTTTATCATTCCCACAAACAGAATCAAAAAAGACTCTAAACTTGACTAGCATTGACTTTATTCGGAATTAAAATTGCAATCTCATTTGCAAAGTAACTACTGCTTAAAACATTGTGCAAAGCAGTTCTACCGAAATGATCCACATTTGTATTTCCAACGGAAATGTTGATCTTTATCCTCGTGATGTTGTCGCAGTTGGGGATGTGCATGAAGGTTTTGCTTCTAGATTTTGATTTGGTTTTAGCTCCGTGGTTGACAGAGATTAAAGGGATCGTTCACTCAAAAATTAAAATTTACTCACTATTTATACATTTTCGAGTACTTCCAAACCTTTGAGTTTTTTTCTTCTGATGAACACAAAACAAGATACTTTAAAGAGCGTTTACCACTGACATCTATAATTGTAAAAACAAATACCATCAAGTCAATAGAATGTAGATTTCTTCATAATATATTATTTTGTGTTTAACAGAAGAAACTCATCGAGGTTTGAAACAAGTGAAGGGTGAGCAAATGATAGAATTTTTAGTTTAGTGTGAACTGTCCCTTTGAATCTAGTTCTGTGATTAAAGGACACTGTCAAAGAGGCATTCATGGCTAGGATTTAAAATCCATTCAGCCTCTCCCCCCAAAAAGGCCTTGAAATCATTCAGTCACACTGTAACATCTTGACTTTCATTGACTGAGCACTGGTTTCACATGAAACATTTACAGAGAAGTATTTACAATACCAATCTTCCTCAACGTTCACCACTCAAGGTAGTCTGTGACATATAAAGGTGCAAAAGAAACTTTAATAATATTACTGTAAATGGTGCTGCTTTATACTCTAAAACGTAGAAGCCCCTCCTCTCCTTTCTGCACAGCACTATAAACCACCTGTGGACTTTTTAAACAGAGGTTTATCATGGTGTCTAAATGCATTCTCACATTTATGGTCACTGCTTTTGTTAAAAAGAACCTTTTTTAGGTTGTATATCACACTTTTTTTGGTCCAACATTTGCACAAAAACGTGCCCATCTGCCTTGTCACCTTTGAGAGCAGAAACCTGGTTGTGCAATAGACAGAGGTCTCTACGATGAATCATTGAGTTTGTATACTGTACCACACGTTATTTTTTAAATAATTTGGCTTGAGGTTCTTTATTATCATGATCGTGGATTAAACAAAACCAACAGCAGCATTAGATTTAGTCCCTTATACTTGTAAACTGTTACTAAGTTCTTTATTGGCACAATGTTACATTTTAACTGTCTACAACTGTCCGTAAAATCACCTTTTTTCCCTGTTCAAGGACTAAACTATTCCAGAGATGGCTGTTTGCTATATCGCCAATGGTATTGTTTATTATCAGGGCTGCTTACATTTATAATGAGTTAGAAGGCAGTTACTATAGTAAATCACTGGCTTTTTAGCTATTTTCTTTACCTGGCAGCCTTACAGCATCTTAAGCAAAAAGCATTGTGAATGTACTGCCCTGCTCTTGCAAAAAAATAAAAAATAAATTAAAAGAAAAGAAAAATATTAACCGACACTCCAGTTTTAGGTGTAAATCCATGTGTTGTTGAACGAGGAAACGGAGTCTGGTAATAATTAATTTAAACAATGGTTAAAGGGATAGTTCAGCCAAAATACAAATTTTATAGTCAATACAAAAGGAGTTTTAAGCTTATTTAGACAATGTTAGGCTACTTTAGACATGTTAAACTATTTTGAAAGAGAAGTGTGTGCGCTTTTTCTTCAGCAAAGTTACTTACAAACAAATACACAGCACAACTGTTCTGCATTTATAAGCAACACAGTGGTGTTTCATTACTGAATGAATAGACTGCTTTGAACAAATCGAGTGACAAATGATTCAGTGACTCATTCATAAGAAAGTACTTTTATACAATATTTAAATATGTATAACTTAAATCACACAATTCTTGACTTGAGAGACTTTAAGAGGCTTGGTGGCTGCTATTCACTTATAGCGATATAAGTTATAAGTTCACCCAAATCTTAGAAGTTTACCCAAAAATGTAATTTCCGTCATCAATTCACTCTATCAATTCACTTCTCCATGTCTGACAAGCTTTCAGTATCTACCATGGTGCTCCCTTATCAATTTGTATCAATCAATACTTTGATCAATTAATACTTTTCATGTAGTGTACCATAGTGAAAGACAATTAATGTTCTTTCTATAAATTATATAACGTGAAGAGTGATCATGAAGCAACGTGTAGTCTAGAATATCTGATATCCTTGACGCTTCAATATTTTATTTAGACAAAACCCTGAGTTAAAATTTTTTTTTTCAATTTCAAGAACAGCATATAACATTTTACAACCAAATATATATGCATGTCAGGGGGTAACTGTAAATAAAATACAAATTTACAAAATGTATATATGTAATAATTAAATAAGTACATTACAGAACTGTATAGAAATTTTTTCAAGTGCGTAGGCAAAATGCAAGCATATTTCAGTCCTTGATAATTTTGTTTTACCCAAAAAAATAGGTTTCTTATTAGTAAATTTACATTTATAAATGTAACATTTAGTTAACAACATAAATAAATTAAATAAATTGCATAACTTGTCCCAACTCATCTTCATTAACATCACCCATTTCCAATAACAGAAAAGATTGGTTCATCATTTGATGGTGGTACATTTTTTGGGCACCTGCTGTCTGGAATGCAATCCATGCAAGCACATTTTTACGATTATTCATGTTAATTGCCAGTGTTACTCTAATACACATGGTTCATTAGACTGTTTAGTTTGTCAGACAAAATGGCGGATGGTGAGTGGGGCACAGAATATCACCCTTGTGATCGGATCAGTCTGTTGGTGGAGCATCAATTACACACAATCCTGTTGTTCCAGTACCATGAGAACTTATTCATCTTTAGAACACAAATTAAGATATTTTTGATTAAAACTAGAGCTTTTTGATCCTCCATGAACCGCAAAAAGCCTAGAAAGATGCCAAGAACATCCTCAAAACATTTAATAGTCAATTATATATTTTATGGAAGCTATAACAACAAAAATAAAGACTTTATTCAACAGTTTTTGCTCTTCAGTGATAGTCCAGTGCACAGGTGCACATGAGCTTTAAAAGTTTTTTAACCACATTTCTGGATCAGAAAGCCCTTGGATTTCATCCAAAATATCTTAATTTTTGTGTTTCGAAGATAAACAAAGCTCTCGGGGAGTTGCAATGACATGTGGGTAAATAATTAATGTAAATTTTACATTTTTCATGAACTAACCTTTTAATGGCCACCATTTTGTCACACATTTCTGAATTCAACATTATATTTTGTCCTTTTTACACAGTAGTCACCATACAGCAGCCAAAACATGGTAAATAATGAAACTTTTTTTATTTTAGGGTGAACTATCCTTTTAAGAAACTTTATGTTGTTAAAGTGAGATATATTAAGTGTGTAATGCTGTGTTTTTACATGCTGCAGTGGTTGAGTAAAGCGGTCTCAGTTCCTGTCTCAATGTATTGAAAGCACCACATGCAAGGAGAAAAACAAATCAGCATAATTTTGCAGTTAGTCCAATTAGTTTGGGATGAAGTTATCTAAATATCACAGCGAGCGTAAGTCACCCATGCCAAATGGAAAGACATGCTACCAACTGCTGCTAAAAACGTACACAGAGGTACAGTTATCACCTTGCACATTTTATATATGTATAACAGCTGAAATATGATAGCCCGCAAGATAGGTGTCTTCGTCAATGATATACAGCTTTTATTATAACTATATAAATATCTAGGTCCCTTCCAGCCCTGTTTTACAGAATATTCTTATGGAAAAAAAACAAGTTGTGGCATACATGTATCGCTGCTTGTGTAAATGTAAATAGTTGTAGTGCCATCACTTGACACATTTTCTTTTTTTTTTATATTATCAGAGATCTAGCATATATTGGTGATTATAAAAGGTGAAAACATCCATAGGTGCCTTATAATCAGTGTTGGAGATTTAAAATGATTTGCATGAGAAGTATGGTTTGTGCAGAGGAAATATCGCTTCTGGTCAAAGACTGGCGAAACCCTGCAGTATTGTTTCTTTAATGCATTTCAGATCATTTAGGGGCTCAAAGATGTTTAAACAGATGCATGATTGGTGGATCATTGTCCAGCAGATGACATTTTGATGAGATTAGTTTTTTGCATAGGATGTAATTTTCATCTCTTGGATTATTGTGTGCCAATTCGGGTACTGTATTTGATCAGGACTGTGCGATAGTGATTCGTTAAATAGGCTATATATATATACGTTGGGAGATTGTTGACTAGGGGTTTTATAGTTGTATATTATAAATGTCTGAAGGTGCGGTCACATTAAACTTTGGATCAGAGTAGATAAAATTCTGCATTCAGCATTTGAAATGATTCCCACAATCCACTTCACTGCATTTACAGCTCAAAATCAACAGCATTGGCAATAAAACATCAATTTTTATTTAATTTCACACAAATTATTGTTTGGTTTCTAGTGCAGTCCTAACATTTCAATTTATTTTACATCAATGTATCATCAGGAGCCTTAGCTATCATTTTTTTTTTCTTTAAAACAATCAGTAGCCATTGATGAAGTGTGTGAGAGAGCTCAAATGCACTTCAACCTGACAAAAGTCTTGCTGCCTATCCAAGTTTTAGCAACAACAAATAATAGCTTGACTTCTAGATGATCATTTGGGATCAGGAGTGGCTTATATAAAAGGCAAAGGCCTCTACATTATGCTTGACTGCATCCATACATCTGCAATGACTTATTTATAAAGTCATCTGGAATTGCAAAGAAAGCGTTCTTGCAGAGTTCATCAAGACTCTTTGCATTTAAATTTAATGCCTCCTCTTTCATTTTACTCCAGACATGTTCAATAATGTTCATATCTGGTGACTGTGCTGGCCAACCCTGGAGCACCTTGACTTTCTTTGCTTTCAGGAACTTTGATGTGGAGGCTGAAGTATGAGAAGGAGTGCTACCCTGCTGAAGAATTTGACCTCTCCTGTTGTTTGTAATGTAATGGGCAGCACAAATGTCTTGTTACCTCAGGCTGTTGATGTTGCCATCCACTCTCCAGATCTCTCTCACGCCCCCATACTTAATGTAACCCCAAACCATAATTTTTCCTTCACCAAACTTGACTGATTTCTCTGAGATGCTTGGGTCCATGCAGGTTCCAATAGGTCTTCTGCAGTATTTGTGATGATTGAGATGCAGTTCAACAGATGATTAGTTGGAAAAATTGACCTTCTGCAACTTTTCCAAATGATTAACTAGAAGTCAAGTTATTGTTTGTTGCTCTTACAATTAGGATTAATGACAAGAGTTGTGTCAGGTAGTGTATATAAAAAAAAGACACATGCAAATATAAAGAATAACAAACTAAGAAAAAAAATGTCAACAATTTAACAAGACATCCGCACATAAAATTTGATGAATCGCAGAATTACTGTTACGTAAAAGGTTATTTCATTGTTATGTCAGCAAGTGTTAGTCTAAGAACAACTGGACATTTCCATTTGAAAGAAAAACACCTTTTTGTAAAAATTTTACCACATGTCTACACTCTAAAAAAAAATTCCGTAAAAAAACGGTAAAATGTACTGGCAGCTCATTACACAAATATTTTACCGTAAATTAAAAACGAAAAACTTCTGTTAATTAACAGTGTGTCAACATTAAAAAAACTAAAAAATATCCGTTTTTTGACAGTTAAACTACTGTAAAATAACCAACCATTTTATAGTAATTTAAGGGTTTTCTATATAAAAAAACGGTTATTTTCTGTGTTTTTAAGGATATACCAACAGTAAAAAAGCGGAAATATTCTGTTTTAATAGTATACCTACTGTAAAAAAACAGACTGATTCTGTGTTTTAATAGTATACCTACTGTAAAAAACAGACAGATTCTGTGTTTTAATAGTATACCTACTGTAAAAAACAGACAGATTCTGTGTTTTAATAGTATACCTACTGTAAAAAACAGACAGATTCTGTGTTTTAATAGTATACCTACTGTAAAAAGAGGACTTTTTTTGTGTTTTAATAGTATACCTACTGTAAAAAAAAAACAGACAGATTCTGTATTTTAATAGTATACCTACTTTAAAAAATAATTATTTTACTAATTTAATGCTCTTCAAGCAGCATAGAAATGGCAATTGGTAAGGAAAAACATATACATATGGGAAATATACTATTAATGGTTTACAATAGTAAAACAAAACATTTATTCTATACTGTATGTGTAGAGAAGCAATAAATAGTTTGTTATCTGTGAACTTACAATGATTAGTACAAAAACAACTTTGCAATTAAAACAGATTCTTTAATAAATACAAATCATTTGAATTCCAAATAGCCAGTTATACACACAATAATACATATTGACATGTGAATCGCACAGTGAGAAGTCTTGGCAGATAATCTCATAGCAAATTAGTTTTAAATGTTAGCTTTAAGATAATTAAGGACAAGTGGGCAAATTACAAGTACTTTACATTAAGAAACCAGGTTAACTGCAAGATGGCAGGAAACAGACGATACAACTGGGTCTTCTTCCTCTCCAATACTGATACTTCAATGGCTGTAAAACAAACAAACAAACAAAAAAAAACATTACTAATGACTTTTTACTTACAACTGGGGTGATTCCTTGCATGTCAATAGTTCTGTTAATTGTTGACTCTACATTAATAGATGTTAGTAGTCGGTTATAAATACAGCTACAAATGCTGTAATCTTGACTTAAGCACATTTATAATGTGCATAATAATTGTGTTAACAAACTTTAATGATTGATTTTACATGACTATTTTTATAAAAAAAAAAATATATATATATATATATATATATATATATATATATATATATATTGCATTATTTACAAAACTTCTTCCAGTTTGGTGGCCTAATCTAAAGTGAGGATTATTTATGATTTATAAATCCTTAGAAACGACAGTTAAAGGCTCAGTATTAAATGAACAATAAATCATTACAGTCTTATCTAAAAAATGTAATTACTGTAAATATGAAACCTTGCTGAATAGCAGGAGTGCCAAAATATAACATAAAACTGGATAAAACAACAATAAAATAATTTAATGATATATTACGATGCAACATTTCAGTGTTATTTAGCTATGTTTAAACTGTACAGTAATTTTATTTTAGATAAGATTTATTTTTCATTTAATACAATAAAATGAATTTCATTTTTAGAATATAACTGAACCTTTAATTGTGATTTATAAGGGTATTTACAAAGCATAAACAATCCTCACTTAGTTAACAAAAGCACTTGTATATACTTTATATACTTATTTTTTTATACTTTATATAACTATTACTATTCATTCATGTATTTTCCTTCAGCTTAGTGTGTACTCGCACTATGTAAAGTTGCCTTGAACCAGGCCGAAGCACGCTTGTCCTCCCTACCGTCTCCCCCGACGTCCTGCACTCACATTGCATTCGAGCTAGGGTTGTAACGGTATGAATTTTTCACGGTATGATAATCGTCTAAAACAATACCACGGTTTGACGGTTTCGCGGTATACGGTATGTTACAAATGTTACAAAATAATAGAACAGCGAAGCAAATTTGACTTTTTCCAAATAATATATTTTCAGTTACTATAAACAACACCGCTTACAAAGAACAAATAAAAATAGGAAAATAATAAATAATGTGTCAAAGTCCAAATAAAGTCCAAATAAACATGGTGCAAATCCTCAGTAAAAAAATAGATATAAATATTTACTATACTATAAATAGTTACATAACAAAACTAGATTCAATATGGAACATCCTTAGGTTTTATGTGCCAGCATGGATATGGTTGTCTATGGATATGGATTTTGATATGGTTGTCTGCAATGCAGACAAACAGCTGCATCTTCATTTGCGTCTTTTGAAAACAGCAAGAGCAGCAGTTCGTCTTTGCTGTGTCACTGTTTTGTCATGTTTCTGTGCTGCTGTGCATGCAAAAGTATTTAGTATGAGAATTATTTCATGCAAAACTTTTTTTTTTGCGTTTTATTTAGCCGCGCATAAATGTATGCCTTTCTCTCATTCCGTGTTGTTCAAAAAGCTTGGTCCACAAACAAAAGCAAAACCTATGCTTATTGGTTGTGATATAGCGAGTTTGAACCAATCTGGGCATGGAGGAGGGACAATGCATCAATGTATCATGTCTGATTTGTCCGGAGACACAGTGACGAGCGTTTCTTTGTCAAATCAGCGTTGTCAAATGTTGATGAAGTAACCACACTGATTCCGGAGCCTCTGAAAGTCCGCGAATGTTATGTGATACAGCACTGGAAAGCTGAGATTCTCTTCTTTATGCCAATCTTTGAATTGTATGAATCGGATCAGCGGATCAAAAGTTATTAAACATTTAAGAGCAATAATAATTTTAAGCCGCGGGCGGCTGTCTCGGTCTTTAAGGGTTAAAACCGTTGATATGCAATTGTTCATGGTATGATAATCGTGCACGTTCAAATCGTGGTAAACCGTCATACCGGTATATTGTTACAACCCTAATTCGAGCCTGAGCACTCTTACATCATCGATGATGCCCCGTTTAGTTTAAGAGGTGCTCTCTCTCAGCACAGTGGAGAATTCCTAAATTATTTTGTTTTAGTCGTTTGGGATGCAGTAACACGCAGTCAAATATTTCGCCGAACAGATCAGCCACTTTTGATGTTCATAAACAATCATAAATTCCTTGTGCTGCAGGAATAGGAGGTTTGCTAAAGGCGCAGCTGTGGTGCAGTAAGGGGTTTCAGTCTTTAATAATCAACGACAGTTTGCGTTCATTGAACAGTAATAGTGGTTAATTTATCCAAATCAAACCATCCCTTGCAAACTGTCACAAAAAACACAAACCCCTCACTGCACAACAGCTGCACCTTTAGCAAACCTCCTAGTACCTGCAGCACAATGACTTTGATTGTTTATGAGCGTCAAAAGTGGCTGATCTGTTCGGCGAAATATTTGACTGCGTGTCACTGCATATTAAACAACTAAAACGATATAACAATATAAAGAAATCTCCACTGTGCTGAGTGAGAGCACTTGTTAAACTGAACAGCACATTATCGATGAAGTAAGCATGCTCGGGCTCGAATGCAATGTGATTGCGGGTCGTCGGGGAGACAAGCACGCTACCAGTTTCAAGGTAACTCTGCATAGCATGAGTACGCCCTTGGAAACACCCATACACACTTATTTACAAACACACTCATACACTACAGCCAATTTAGTTAATCAATTTCCCTATAGCGCATGTCTTTGGACTGTGGGGAAAACCTGAGCACCCGGAGGAAACCCACGGCAACACGGGGAAAACATGCAAACTCCATACAGAATTGCCAACTGAGACTTGAACCAGAGACCTTCTTGCTGTGAGGCGACAGTGCTAGCCACTGAGCCACTGTGCTGCCCAACTATTACTATATGCCTGAATAATAAGATATTTAAATGTTAGTTTGAATAGTTTATTAACCATTTACTTAAACATTCTAAATGATTAGAAAAAAAATACACTAACTATTCTTAAATCAATGGTTTGTAAATAATGCGATACTAAATTTAGTAATGAAAAATTAATCATTAACAAAATATGAAAACAAAATAATTAAGCACATTATAGATCTGCTTATAAGTCAAGATTACAGCATTTGCACCTGTAGTTATAAATTGTATACTAAGGTCTATTAATGTAGAGTCAATGCTTAACAGAGCTTTTTGGTAATGCTTAATAAATTAATCAATAGTGTTTAGTTGTTATAAAGTGTTACCGGTGTGCTTAATTACCTTTAAATCTTCCAAGGATTCTGAAAGTCTTTCTGGTCTGACAGGAATCGAAGGAGTTAAGATGGTATGTTTCTGCTTGGTGCCCTTTTTTCTGCTTTGGACCTACGTTCTGGTTAGTTACTCAGCATGCTCCTGTTGTAAATACAACAAACATGTATCACCTTACTTGTCTTGTAAAAATGAAATAAACTTAAAAATTTAAAAACATACCTTCATATAAACTACAGAGTCAGGGCTGCTTCCTTAGGCTACATAATGTTTAGCACATAAGAGACTAAACATGTAGCTGACCACAATTAGGGGACAGCTCAATGATCTTGTTATTGTGACTGTGGACTCTTCTTCTGAAAAAAAGAAAAGAAAAGTGAGTTGTGTGTTGGGTCTGGTACACGCCTACATGGAAAGAACCTATATAAACATATGGTTTAATATAGGTTTTTGATATATGTGACACATATAAAATTGGCTGTTTTCCTATTTTATATGTACATATATGGGTACATATATGCACACCTATATGTTAAATTATTAATAATATTATAAATAATATAATTATTATGTAAAATTATTCAAATACATGTCTGCTACATAATTTAAAAGAAATTTTAAAAAATGCATTCACTTAATCAAATATTACAAGAAATAAATATAGTGCAGAAACAAAAATAAGGCAAAAAACAACAATAAAGGAAAGAAAACAAAATAAAAAGAAAGACAAACCATTTTGTTATACTTTTTCTTATTTTCCACTATCTTTATGCAAGAAAGAATTGACCTTGCAAATGTTTCAGGAAAACGTGTAGACATCATAGCTTTCCATCTCCTCTCACTTATTTGCCATAGTTAAATTCCATAACATGCCAATTACATGTGATACCAAATTCAAGTGGCACATTCATAAGTTTTTTGCATTTTTAAAATGAGTTCTTTTCCAGATAGCAGACCTAAGTTAAATTAACATTGAAATGTTAAAACATCAATCAAACTATCATTGAAACAATGTTAATAGTCATCACTGATTTTTAGTCAGTTTTCCACCCTGAAATAATGTTAATTCTATGATGATAAATAGACAAAACTGTCCCAAAATCAGCATTTATTCAACCAAAATTAAATCATTTTTCACAATGAACCCAACATTAAATAAAATGTTAAATCAACCACACTATCATATAATTAATGTTAAAATTTAAAGTTGATTTTCAGCCAGTTTTGCATCCTGAAAAAAAGGTTATTACAATCACGATAAATAGATTAAACGGTCACAAAATCAGCATGAAGGCCTGGCTCACCATCAAGATGCCCACATTGAAAATGTCTTTCTCATCATCAGGTGGCTAAGAGAGAAAAGAAAAGAGATTCAGCAGTGGACCAGTTATTTCCTTATCATTTTAAACAGACATAACCAAAATAAAGAACTTGTAACATTTTAAATGTTGTAAAAATAAATAATAATAATAATAAATAACTGCTTTGTTCATTTAACAGATTACAGTAGCAGCTTTAAAAACCCCAGATAAAACACCCACATCAACCCAGTACTTTTAGTTTGAATACATGTTAACAAAATTTCAAAATTACTGAAGCAAAATGTGTTCATGTAAACACTTAGTAAAAATATAGGTACAAGTAATTGGTTTTGCCAAATAATAAAAATAAAAGCATTAACATCAAACAAAAACGCTGAACATTTTACCTCTTAAACTTGTAAGTTTACTGTCATCCCCTGTATGAAGTACAGATGGTCCAGCACAACTGCCTGAGTTCTGAAAGAGCAAACACATATTTTTTTGTATTATGTATAAAAATGCAGTACTGACCAGTCAGCATCAATTTCTACACCAACACACCTACAACAAAAATAACACTCATTCAGTTTGAAACAGGCAACATGTAGTCTACTGTTATACTTTACAAACTTTGTGAATAATAAAAAAATGAAAACATTTAAAACCCCAGGTGTATTTTATTTTATTTGTCTATATCAATTGAAATTTAATTTGGATTGAACGTAAGATTTAAGATTTTTATTTAGATTGCTGTGAAAATGTACCTGTACCTTGTACTTATGACCAAAATGACAGAACCTGGGAATCAACAAAGCAAAATATCAGTGAACCTTATATATACAAAACACTCAAAATCAAACAGAAAAAACGCTGAACATTTTACCTCTTAAACTTCAAAGTTTACCGTCATCTCCTGTATAAGGTACAGAAGGTCCAGCACAACTGCCTGAGTTCCGAAAGAGCAAACACATTCTTGGTAAAATTACAATAGATGCAATGCTAAATATAAATCATTGTTTATTTTTTTGGTTAAAAAATGCAGTACTGACCAGTGAGCATAAATTTTTACACCAACACACCTACAACAAAAATAACACTCATTCAGTTTGAAACATGCAGCATGTAGTCTACTTTTAAATTTTACAAACTTTGTAAATAATAAAAATATGAAAACATTTAAAACCCCAGGTGTGTTTTATTTAATTTGTCCATATTCATTCAAATTCAGTTTGGATTGAATTTAAGATTTTAATTTAGATTGCTGTGAAAATGTACATGTATCTTGTACTTATAACCAAAATGAAAGCATAAACATACAGCAAATCTTATATCCTATATCAGTGAACCTTATATCTACAACACACTCAAAATCAAACAGAAAAACCCTGAACATTTTACCTCTTAAACTTGAAAGTTTACTGTCATCTCCTGTATAAAGTACAGAAGGTCCAGCACAACTGCCTGAGTTCTGAAAGAGCAAACACATTCTTGGTAAAATGACAACAGATGCAATGCTAAATATAAATCATTATTTTTATGGTTAAAAATGCAGTACTGACCAGTCAGCATCAATTTTTACACCAACACACCTACAACAAAAATAACACTCATTCAGTTTGAGACAGTATACATTTAAACTTCACAAACGTTGTGAATAATAACAAAATGAAAACATTTAAAATCCCAGGTGTATTTTATTTCATTTGTCCATATCAATTCAAATTCAGTTTGGATTGAATCTAAGAATTTACCTGTACCATGTACTTAAAACCAAAATGAAAGAACCTGGAAGTCAACAAAACAAAATATCAGTGAACCTTATATGTGCAAAACACTCAGACTCAAAATCTACATAAAAAGATTTCATTTGTGATAACACCATGTGTAGTTCACTCTATTATCAAGGCTTCATTAAAATAAATCTCCTGATCTCCTAATAGAAATGAATGTATTATTTGCTATAATGATTCGAACTGCCAGTTAGTCTAAAGAATTTTAAGACTGTGGAAGAACAGCTCATCTTTATATCTTCATATTAGCAGCTGTTGAGGTTCTTAAAAGTGAACTTGGCTGAATCTGCACGTTGACAAGACGTTCATAAGTATATTATCCATGACAGTTCAACTCGACTACAACAAACATTTAATTGTGTGCTTTAAGGTACACGTTGTATTTGAGGCCTAAAACGCATGACAGTGTAAACACTATATAAAATTTTAAATGTCACACACTTACTGTATCACTCTGTTATCTCTGTACACACAAACACGCGTCGCGAAATGCGGAAGTTTTTTTTTCGTTCCATTTGGTGAGCGTTATTAAATTCCATAACACTCTCATCAGTTCTTCCTTCTTATTTGCGTCTAATACCCCAGTTTGTCACGTGGGATGAATGAATGTTCATGAGTTAAAGTGAAACTGCCGAACTGCAGTTAAAGTCAGGCATCCTGCTGATTTGATTCAGAAGGGCACTTGTTTGTCAGACGGCTTATCGGTCAGGTATACATCCGCGCTAAACTACCAAAGTATGAAAGTCACCCAGCTCCCAACCCAACGTTGAGAATAGATTAACGGCGATATATTTTTTTTATCGCGCGATAAAAGTCTCGCGTTAACGCAGCACGTTAATGCTGATAAGGGCCCACCACTAATAATAACTTTATGAGTGTGTATTTCCCCTCATACCGATTTACACAATGCCTCCAATTCACGCGGGTCTAACTTATACTTAAAAACCAGCAAAGCTGTTCCACTGAAACTCACACAGCCTTAATACGTCGGTCAAACTAAAGCTAACATTTGATAACGTCAGTAAAAATATGAAATTAGTTATTAATATGCAAACAAACACAGACGGTCAGGTATTACGAGCGTTTGAAACACGTTAACGTTAGGGTTCATTAAAGGTAACGTAACGTTAACCAGTCATCGATATACACATTCAGCACTATATATCAACCAAACTACACAGTGTCACAAACTTTGAATGCTATCCCTTGTTCAATGCACTATACAAAGAAAACATTTCTATTAAATAATTAACATACCTTTTACACTCTCACAGACAAGCTGACGTTTTACCGTTAATCCAGTCAGACTCATGCAGGTGCAGAGGGAGTGAGTGGGTGATTGGGACGTCACATCACTTCCCGCGCACGGCAGTTTAGAAAAATACGGACAAACAACTGTAAATTAACAGATATCATATTTACTGATGATGAGAAAAACGCATAAAAAGGTAAAAATTCATTAGATAAATGCTTGTTTAAATTGCATTTAACCACTCATAGCTCAGTTTGATCTTAATGATAAAAAGTCTGATCTTATTAAAAATATTAAACGTAGTTCACTGCTGTTCTTTCCATGGCTGCTTCAGACAAGACAAAAATCATTTTAAATAACGATACAAATGTAATAAAGCAGTATTTTAACTAAAATATTGTTATATGTTTTATTAATCGTACTTACCAGGGAAAAAACAGAGGAAGAAATATGTCCCGGTGTCCATCAAACGCTGCCTAAGCTGCGATCCCCTTCCCATAATGCAATTCGAAAATGTATATAAACGGAAAAACACCCGTAATACGTGTATACGGAAAAAATCCGTTAAAATATACAGTCATTTAACTGTTATTTTACAGATTTTTTTTACAGTGTAGCCTAGGTTGATTTACATGTATAAATTTGCATCATTTGTAATTTATTATACCCCAAAAGCTTTGCCTATATTCAATGCAGCGACTGAAGTGCGATTAGTGTGACTGCACCTTAAGACTGAGGAAAGAATTAAATGCAAGTATTGTATGTTTTGATCTAAACATGTCCTCTGTTATGACGGACACATGAGGGCTTTAAGTCTTTCATCTCTGCAAAACACAATACACAGTATTAGACTAAATGCCAGTGTCCACCTCTCGCGTGCATACACACTTTACCAGACTTGCCAGAATGTGCAATAGTGTATAAATACTTGGCAGGCACATGGAGACATTACCTCTTAGTGTGTGGTATTAATGGCAGGACATTACACTAGTGCTAGTAACTTCTTTCTACTAGTACTTTGTCTCTCTGCGATCAGTTCAAGGCAAACAGAGTTATTTGTCATGCCTTTTTACTATGCAGCAGCTGTGGTCTAACTTTCTGAATTTCAGAATGCAGAAATGCTTATTCATTGATATGTTTTACGTGTTTTATGAATATATTTTATTGAGAATTAAGTAATTAAGCACTGCAACCCTGTTGAAAAGACAGGTTAGAGCTGGTATGATGCTGGTCTAGCTGGTGGACCAGCAAATCTTTGCTGTTCACCAGCAAAACAAATACTAATCAAAATTTTCGATCTGTCTAGTGAAGCTGGTTGACTTGAGCTCAATTAAGACTATTTCAATAGTTAAATTTTGGCCCAATTTGACATAACATGTTGAGGTGATTTAACAACATCTGCACATCCGGGTGCAAGAATCCAGTTTTAGTCTGCATTGTGCATCACAGTGGATGACATCCAAAGCTGTCTGGGAACTTTAACAATGTCCAGCAAGATGATGCCAGCATGTCAAATTATTGAAACTGACCAATAAAGATATTGGTCATGGCAAAGCAAATGGAGTATCACATTTTAGGCCACTACGACAGACCACAAGATCTTTTTCAACATTCAGTGTATGCCATATCATTTATACATTTAGAATTCACAGTGACTGGTAGGCTATACAAGAGTGGAATAAAAACGTACCTTACCTAATGTAGAATAATCCACCTTTTCGGATTTGCTTTGAAGAACATTAGAAGTGTCAAACTTAGAGTCCTCGACACTAAGAAACAATGTATATCCATTTTTTTATTTATTTAGCATATCTCTGTAAATTAAAGCGTCAACAGAATGAGAGCCGAGAATGAGTATGAATACTGGTTAGTAACAAGAATAAAACAATTAAAATAGTATATACAGTTTATATGTAGTATCTATATCTAAACTGCATCCAAAGTAAAACAGATTCTAAATTATCATGTCATATACCTATACCATATAGCAATATCTTTTTTTGTTTTTAAACAAAGTATATCATAAATAATCTTCAGAAAAAAGTAGATCATAAATATTGTTTAGAATAAATCAGATTCAACTTAAATGAAAAACTACAAATAACTAGGCGAGACTACAACCCCTAGTTTTTAGTTTGGCACAGTATCAAAGTAGAGAAATATATGAAAATAACAATCAATTTTCATTTAATTTCTTCCCTCAATGCCATTATGGATGTAACCCATATTTCCTGAAAAAAGGAACAGATAAATTATGTTATGATGACATATTGGGATTCTGTTTAGAAGACCAGTCATTCAGAAATGGGCCAATGAAAATTTATGAGTAGAGTCTACATATGAGGCCTAACCCCGCAGAACAGCTGCAGAGCCCACATACTACCCATAGTGAAGAAATTGTGGCAACAGGCTGACCCTATTGAAGAAATCATGACCCAAAAGGACAAAGGTTATGTCTGTTTCCTGGCTTAAAGAGAGGGGAACCGTTCAGAAGAGAAAAGTATACTTGTTAGTACATAGGGAACCACATATAAAGCACCAAAGGTCAGATTCTTACATGGAGTATGATATTAGGAAAATGTAGGAACTTCCTAGTGTTTATCATCTCAGGAACTTACTAGCAGAGCAGTAATAAGTGCACAGGTGAGGGAGAAATAGTGCTGCAAGCTTGACACCAAGCTCGTTTTTGTCATATTTTCTGCTGTTGGAGAGTTCATGAAAAGAAACTGGTTCCACTCAAAGACTGTAGAACACAGATGTCAAACTCAGTTTTTGTAAGGTCTCAGCTCTGCACAGTTTAGTTTCAACCCTAATTAAACAAACCTGATTAAACTAATTGAGTTTTCAGACTTGTTTAAAATCCACTTGTATTACAAGTGTATTAGACCAGGGTTGGAGTTTGACACCCCTGCTGTAGAACCTGAGATAAGAGATGTACTGCAATGAGGCAAGCTTGGTTGAGTGTCATTGCTAATGTAGAGAAGCAAGGGCTTCATCCACAACCTTTGTGAAGACCCACAAAGACATGGAGATCTCGAAATGGAGGACCTTATATTGGTATGCCCAATCCTTGAACGCAAACTGAGGAAACAATATGTGTCATGGTGAGGTTGTGACATGGAAGTATGCCTCCTTTAGGTTGATAGCTTTCAACCATTACAAAGGATGGATGCATTAATGAATGTCTTTCTGAATGAGCATTTTGAAAGCCTTCCTGGGAAGGGATGTGCAGATCCAGTAATGATCATAATCCCCGGCTCTTTTGGGTACATTGAAATATAGACTGTAAAACCCACAAATAATCTCACTGCATGCTTCTTGCCATGTCAAATTCCCACATTACGCCATTTCAGTTGGCCTGGTTCATTGAGAGGAGGTGTATTCACCTTCAGCCCAATCACCACAGCTGACTGGAAAATCATGGTGATCAAATCCCACTCAAGACCATCATTCACAGGCGGTCCAGATGGAGGATGCATCATCAGAAGATGGCAACTTGCCCTCCAAGGCAGAAACAGACATCTGTTTCTTCATGTCATCAAATGAGAGTGTTTCCATGTTTGGGGGATGCTGTGGGTGAATGAGAAATCTGTGGAGGTTTACCCGACAGAACAGCTCCCACTATGATCACCAGATCATCTTGAGTACTTTCTGAGGTGGCTCTCTCTGAGGGGTACTTTTTGGTAGAAGCAGAGGGGCTCACACATGGAGAAGTGCAAGCACTGATCTTAGAGTGGCCATAGACATGCCATCACAGTGTGAACATAAGCTAAACGTGAGAACCATCCTCACATGCTGGATGTCCGAACATATAATGCAGTGCTTATGACCATCCGCTGGATGTAAACAAAAACACATGCACAAATGAAACGCCATGCTAAAAAGAATCTGTGCCTAGTCTTGCTCTTTTAATTGGTAATTAACCACTTAGTGAAGTGCCGAGGAACAGTAAACCGAACTGTAACTCTCACTATGAGTTTTTAAACAAAGTTGCTTTCTCAGATACCCATTTTCCACCAGCATGAACCAGGTGCTACAGATATGGCTACTGAGGACGCGTGTTTCTTCACATGCAGTACTACAATTTGTCATGCATAGTCACACGCTATCCTGTGGCTGCAAAGGCCGCCATTTTACTGTATATAAAAAAAAGAATTTTTATCTGTGCTGTACGTAATAGCCATCAAGTGGCACAAGGAACAACCACTTTTCTATTGACTCAGTTGTCAAGCGTGTATAGATGCATGTACAGCAGTGCTTAATTTTTTAACCTAGAGGTCCCGGAACAGATATGAAGAAAAAAAAAAAAACATGATTGGAAAAATAGCTGGCATGAATTTAGAACAGTTTTTTTAAGCTATTAATAAGATATGGTCATGGAAGCGAATTTGTAATTTAAATTATGCTCAGAGCTCCATAGTTTAAAATAGACTAACAGTCTAACTATAGGCTAGTATAAGATAAAACACTAAGCTGCCTAATAAACAGGCTTTAAAATACAGTTTTATAATATTATCTTAAAAAAAAACTGTACTGTAAGAAAAAAGCACAGGAAAGAATGCCGTTTTGAAACAGAAACTTATTTTATCAACATGCTTTAATCTTAGGCAGTTATTTAAGATTTTTTTGTTAGAAAATTTAAGTAAGCCTACTATAGAAATTTTATTTATTTCGGGACGGATCTAAGCTGTATTTGTTTACAGCGAGCGTGAGCAGAAGCGATTGCTTTCGCAAGACCATGGAGGAATGCTTAGCCAAGCGTCAGACCTCTCTGCTTCTGCTTTCATGCCTCTGGCTGCTAAAGTATATCGGTTTAGGATGTTTACTATTTTACATAACTGCCCCCTGTTGGTCATGTCTTTCTTGAGGTAGACCATGTTGTGCTGTCACGCATTGCCGCAGTAAGGCGAGACACCACTTTAGATCACTCACGCATTCTCAGTAGCCATATCTGTAGTTTAGAGTCAGAGCTATTGACAGTTGAGAGGGCTGGTTCATCTGGCAATCCTTCTGGGAACTGCTTTGCTTTTCCACCAGCTAGAAATCCACTGTTCAGCCAGGTCTGAAGTTGTGAAAGCACAAAATACAAACGATATGTTGCTCTTAATGTTAATAACTTTGCCAATCTATATCACTATTCAAACAGCAAATACAACATGCTGTAGTTTGAATAGACAAAGGCTGTGTCTGAAATTGCATAATTCCCTATTGTATAGTATATGATAAACAGTATGTGAGACAAGTAGTATGTCCAAATTCATAGTATTCGAAAAAACAGTAGGCAAGAAGTTCCCGCATGACCTACTACTTCTGGCAAGATTCTGAAGTGTGCATCCAGTGGATGGTATCCTTTCCCATGATGCCACACAAGATCATTCATAAATGGGAATGAAGAAGACACACCTGACATAGGTAGGTCATATGATGAATGTCAAATGTAGGTAATTTCACACACTGCCGTGATTAGACAGATTCAGCAGTATGTTTCGCTACCATTTCAAATATGGTGCTCAAAACAGTTTCTTCATCTCATTTTACATCTTGCTTCTTGACATAAACAGTTCTTACTTCTAGCCAAGAAATTTTTGGTGCCATTTAAGAACCACTTTTCTAGTTCTGAGCTGGTGCTTTGAGAGTCAAAACCAGCTCCGAACCAGCACTGGAACTGCCTTGGTAGTAAAGGGGTAAGTGAGAGACGCAGCCCGGTCCAAAGCAAAAAATCTAAACGCATGATTGCAGACGTGTCACTTAAACACCAATATACACAAGAGTGGTCTTGTATGCAGATTCCACTCACCAAATATTAATTGGCCCATTTGAAAAAAGTGATACTTTAGGTCACCTGACTGAAATCCTAATAGGTCTTCAAATCATAACTTATGACTAACAGAAAGTGACTAACATATTTGTGCAGCCTTACGACAGAATGAGGTAAATATTTGTAAGTGATAATGATTATGGCAAGCACACACATTTAGCATTCCATTATAAATATACATCCTTCCTATCAAAATTCCTGAGATGGCACAGACAAACCACATACAAATGCAGCTTTATGTTGATTCTCTTCAGGTTTTTATCAGTCATTACTATTCACATTTCATTTGGCTTTAGACAGCTGGATGTCTACGTTTGTCTATCTATGTGATAGATAGACAGACAGACAGACAGACAGACAGACAGACAGACAGACAGACAGACAGACAGACAGACAGACAGACAGACAGATAGATAGATAGATAGATAGATAGATAGAAAAATTAAATCAATAAGTGAAGAAGGGACACTCCGTGTATATAAAACACAACATGCTGGTGACCAGCAGCACTGCTCTTTTCAACATGGTCGCAGTTTTATTCACCACTTCCCCATATAGTATATATGAAGCATATAAAAGCATTTGTGAACAGATACTGTATATACAGTGAATTCACATTCCAGACACATTATTTAAAAATGCGCTGCCACTTTCAGTTCACTGATGTACTGCAGGGAAGTCCTTTAACAGGTTTGGTTAGTTTCCGATTCTCCACTTTGAGGGTCAGTTTCTTCACAATGCAAAGATGGCTATTGTTCTATGAACAATACTGTTATTTCTTTTACTGAAAAAATGTGAACATTGTAAACAGCTGTTTAAAAAACATTGAGACATCTAAGAGGTTAAACCTGGTGCTTTTGTTATAGAGGTGTGTTGGAGTCATATAGACACTGATTGGTTTACCAGGACAATCAACATGCTTTCACACAGAGTGTATATAGGCCGTACTGTATGCCCTCCAAATATCTTAAAGGAAGACTAGACTTTTTTGAAAACGGGCTTATTTAACAACTTTCCAAGAGTTAAGCAGTAGAGTTAAACCATTTTTAAATCCACTCAGCCAAATTTGGCAGGAGCATTGTTAGCTTACCTTAGCATAGAATCGGATTAGCATCTCACACAAAAATTACAAAGGATTTTAGATAATTTCCCTATATAAAGCTCGACTCTTTTATAGTTACATTGTGTAGGCTCTCATTTTTGAGTGTGCTGCTAACAGTCTAATCCGATTAAATGATTTATGCCAAGCTAAACTAAAAGTGCTCTCACCAGAGATCAGCTGAATGGATTGTAAAACTCTAGGGGAGTTATAAAATTAGCCTATTATCAAAAAAGTGGAGCATTTCTTTAAGATATTTTAACTGAGTATATCAGTTATATACTCATATCCTATATAAATCGTATCCTACATCAATTGTTTTCTTCCCTTTTTATTTGCGAGTCATCTGCCCTATTCTAGGCTAATTCTCTGTGAAAGGCAGTGCGGATTCAGTACAGAAGTTTCGCTGCCTGTTCAGCAATAACCTGAAGGGTTTCATTAAATGATCGCAGGCACGATTCAGCATCCTCACTTTGGTGAAAAGAATTATTCTTGCTCTGGATAATGGCAGGATGTCGAGGTCTGCCTGTGGTGCTTTGTTGACTTTTCTGAGAGTGAGGAGGGATTTCAGGCAGTTTTGCCGTTTTCACATTTTTTTTTTCTCAAAGGTTTAATATAACCCCAGTATGAAAACACTTTGGTTTTAGTTACTCATGACTTTTTTACTATTTTTTTTCTTTCAGCCCATCTGATGTATGTTGTTTGAATAAGTGAGACCTCTCATAAATGGGCTATAACAGTGGTTTGGCTAAAACTTGTTCTGAATCATTAAATATATCAATAATGTGGATGAATCTAATGCCAAATATACATTATTTATTTGAGAAGAAATACATATATTGATAAATGAATATATGCCTAATTTAAATTTTTTTTTTTTTTTGCTCTAATCCATGTTTATTTGAACTTTGTCAAGATTATTTTATAAAGCTACTGTATGACAGCATGCGGGATCGTAAAAAAAATGAATGTATGATTTGATGTTTCATTGCTGTTGGTTGTTTTGACATTTTACAAATAGTTTGGTATTTGTAGAATTCATTTGCTTTTTTATTTCTAATTTATTGAGTTATATTCATATCTCTAAATATGAAATGTTGGGGGGGGGGGGGGTGGGGGGGGTTTGCAGGCGAGGATTCTACAAAAGTTTGGTCCTGCTCTGCTTTAGTTATGCTTCAGTATTTTGCCTAATTTCAGATCTGATCAATCTGCCTCTTTGGATAAATGAATATTAAGTATGATCATTTGTTGTATATAGAACTCCTATTAAACTTTTTTGAAGAAAAGAAAGAATGCTGTGCTGCTCGTTTTCATTGTTGTATATATGTCATCATTTGGGTAAAACATAAAATATTGTTTTGATAATCTAGTTTAGAAGAAATCAATCACTTAGAAATAAGATAATCCATTATCATTATTATGTAACAGTTATTTCATATTAATAAATCCTTTTTTTATTTGGAAAATATGAAGATTTTTGATTCTGCTCATTACAGTACAGTATGCAGTATTTTTATTATCAAAGGTTTAAGGTCAGTAGGATTTTTAAATAAGCTTACCCTGCTCACCAAGGCAGCATTTATTTAATCAAAAATACAGTACAAATTGTAAACTTGTGAAACGTTATTTAACTATAAAATAATTGTTAAAAAGTAGTTTATCATTTAATAAAATTTTATTCCAGTGATTTTAAAGATGAATTTTCATCCACTTTCTTCCAGTCTTCAGTCATATGATCCTTCAGAAATCACTCTAATATTAATTATTGCTATTATTATTATTACTACTATTATTATTATTACTATTCATTCATTTTCTTTTCGGCTTAGTCCCTTTATAAATCCAGATTTGCCACAGCGGATTGAACTGCCAACTTATCCAGCATATGTTTTACGCAGTGCATGCCCTTCCAGCTGCATCCCATCTCTGTGAAACACACGTACACTCTCATTCACACACATACACTAAGGACATTTTTAGCTTACCCAATTCACCTGTACCGCATGGTTTTGGACTTGTGGGGGAAACCGGAGCACCTGGAGGAAACCCACTTTAACGTAGGGAGAACATGCAAACTCCACACAGAAATGCCAACCGACCCATCTGAGGCTCGAACCAGCGACCTTCTTGGTGTGAAGCATATTATTATTATTATTCTTATTATTATTATTATTATTATTATTATTATTATTATTATTATTATTAATATTAATAATGGTAATATTAATAAAGCAATAATGACTGAAGTAATAATTTCATTTGAAACTACATACAATAATAAAGCAGTTATTTAAAATGTAAATAAATGATAAACTATTTAAATTTTTTCCCTTTAATAAAAGCCATCCTGATGAACAGAATAATTTTCTTTAAAACAATTAAAACAAAACTGACCACAAACTTTTTGACCAGTAGTGTATATTAGTCAAATTTAGCATTTAATTATATTTAATCTTTAAATAAAAAGTTTTTCATTATGTAGTAAATATTATTACTTTACGTTATGTTTCTATACAGTTTTTATTTGTTCATTTATCAATAATATTTTTCTCTAGACTCTAGGGGTCAGTTCTTCGTACGTGGATTTTGACAGTTAATATGACGGTGATTTGATGCTTCACAAAAGTTGCAGACGCCTTTACCAATATCAAAATGCTTTAGTAAACAACCAGTTATTCTTTACACCGATTTAAAAAAAAACGGCTTCTATAATAAAAAAAATCTTTTCTAAATGTAGAACTAAATACATTGATATGCATTGAAATACATGATGAATACTCTTGACACATGAAAGTGTAAAGCCTGCAGCTCACAACAAATGTGGAAGGTTGTTGCGTGTCATATTTAACAAACCGTTTACTGCTACTAATAATTTTGCTCACATGGATAATTCAATATTAATCAGATGATGTCATTAAGCTGTTGTGCCGTCAGCCAATCGTTGCATTGCTGATCATGATTAAGGATCGATAGATCTGTCCTTCACAATACATGCAGCGAACTAAGATCAGTTTATCCAGACATTCTAATCTGATTCGCGAACTTGTTTGAAGAACCAAATTAGCAAGAGATCAGTTATCAAGATTAAAGGATCCAGGATCTGCCAGGTCATCTTAGATCATTTAAGCAAGGTACGAACAAATACACATATCAGGCATTGTTTGTTTAAAGCAATGGGTGTGTTTACATGGGCACCAATAATCTGATTTTAATACGATTAACACAATACTCTGATTAGGAGTCTACCATTTAAACAGCAATTTTTGACTAATTTAATCCGACTTGTCATAATCAAACTAAACAGAAATCAAATTAAGATATGTGGAGTATGCCTATTTTAGTCGCATTATTGAAGTGCATTACAGTCATGTAAAAACCCACAATCAAACTATTATTGTCATGTGGGATTTTTTTTGTGACAGGATAGTCTATACACACACAGCTGTTTGACACTATTCTTTGCACCTAACGAGTCAGTGAAGGACAACTGCATCGTGAAATGTTTTTGTGCAAAGGTTTTTTTCTCCCTTTCTCCCTCCCAGTATAAAATCTCCATTAAAACAACATTCGTCCAGCAGTTCATACTCGCACCCAATATCTTGTTTGCAATGTAATGTGTATTAATATTTCCCATTTGTTGTGTATGACCCTACAACAAAAACGCTTCACAATTATGAGGGGGTATCTCTCCACACCACCACCAGTGTTGCAGCCTCCACTTGGATGATATGGTGACAGCCACTGGACAATGGCGCCAGTGCGCTCACCACACACAGCTATAGGGAGAGTGGAGAGACCCTGATAGAGCCAATTCGGTGGATGGGGACGATTAGAAGGCCAGGTTTGTCACGGGGACATACATAAAATATTCCTGACTGAAAGTGAAAGCGCCAAAATGCAGTTAATGTCGACTAATTAAGAATTAAACACCTGAAATTGCATGAAACTCTGGAGGAAATGTGGATATCATGGTGAAGCGATGACATTAATCAAACTATGTTCGGTACTATAACATGTAAAACCGGATCATGAAAGGAACATTCAAAAAGCAACTTAGATTAAGGCAAATAACTTGATTACGGATGTCTATAAACATAGTCATTGTCAGATTACCATATTTTTATTATAATAATTATTATTATTATTATCATCATTGGTATATGTAAAGATTAATGTCTTGTCAGATGAATAAATGTCTTCCCTTCAACTTTTACCACAAAACTGTTTCTGGAGTAAATATTGAAAAAGCCACCCACCATTTTAAACCACAGTGAATGGTTGACGTCTCCCTATGCTTTAGCTTCAGAAAGGCACTTCCTATTCTTCTCAAAATACTTAGAAAAATTGTTCATGATGATGGTGATAGGTAAAGAAATCACAAGTAACCCACAGAGAATGCAAACTGTGGCTACAATCCTTCCAGCCACAGTCAATGGATAAACATCTCCATAACCCACTGTTGTCATGGAAATAATGCCCCACCACCAGCAAATGGGAATGGAAGATAGCTGGGATGAAGCTTCTTCCTTCTCCGTGTAGTAGATAAAAGTTGAGAAGAAGGAGATCCCGACGGTAATGAAAAGAACAAGCAGACCCACCTCACACTGGCAGTTCATCAGCGTCTCCCCGAAAGCTCTCATTCCCTCAGAATGTCTCGCAAGCTTTAGGACCCTAAAGGACCTCATCAGCCGTAGAACCTGAACCACCCTGCCCATGTTCACCAGGCTTTGGTTTTCCTCCTTGTCTTCTTCGTCTAATCTCTCAACGGCTAACGTAATGTAGAAAGGCAAGATGGAAGCAACGTCGATCATATTCAAAGGGTTTCCCAAAAACCTCAACGGTTGAGGAGCAGCAATGACCCTCAAGAAGAACTCAACTGAGAAGAAGACAATACAGAAGAGCTCCACGGAGTCCAGGACCGAATGCTCACCATCTGTCTGGTATCTGAATTCAGGCAAGCTGTGGACACACATGGCCAGGATGGAGATCAAAATCACTAGGACAGAAACCGCAGCCACACCTCGGGAACATCTGGAGTGTTGAGGATCTTCAAGAGTTTCCCACATCAGCTTTCGAACATCTGAGCACCGCATGCCTTCGGATTTCCACAAATCTTCACTTGTGACCGAAATCTCTCCAGATGATGCATTTTTACTGGACTGTCCACTTGAGTTCAACTCATGTTCGTCTTTACGTTCGAGGAACCATTCAAGACAACAGGCGTCTAGATCCAGTTCACAGAGACCCCAGTATTCGATCTCCTGGCTGAAGCAGAACACGCACAGTTCCTCCAGAGTGTGGAAGTGTCCAGTGCGATAGAAGTTCAGGACGCAGTGGAAGACTTGCGGGCTTCTGTCGAAATAGTATTCCTGTTCTGTCGGGCTGTAGTCGTCGCAGAGCTCCAAGATGGCGGCGTCACTGTGGCACTGGATTAGTTGAGCCACGCGAGTGTGGGGGAATCGGAGGAGAACACAACGCTCCACCTTGTGGTGGATGCCTCCAATGTTCAGGTTTACAAGATCTTCCTCCCTGCCTTGATGGTGGAGAATTTGGCCGTACATCATGGTGGAGCGTGTTCATCGAATCTGGAGGTCTTGCCTGGGATGTTCTTGCATTTTGCACTAAAAGAGCAGAAATCTGAAGGTTAGCTATACGACTATCTTGGTGAATCAATTTGTTCAGTTAGGGTGCTTTCACACCTGTGGATCGATTCTTTTGTTCTGAAACAGGGATTAAAATAGTTTCATTGTTGCACTTTGTTCCTGGTGCGGTTCAATTTCACATGGCAAAGCTTCTAAATGGACCAAAAGAGCTAAAACAAGTCACGCCCGAGTAACTCTTTTCCAAATGGTCAGAGTTTCACGGTTTATTTTTCAGTCTCCCACGCATCTGTCATGCGTCCTTATTGACGAAAATCAATAAGATATTATAAATTAAAAGCTGTGTCTTAATTTTGAATGGTGACACCCACAGGCATTCATTCATTTATTCGTTCATTTTTTTTTGACTTAAGCAATTTATTAATTTGGGGTCGACACAGCGGAATGAACCGCTAATTTATCCATATGTTTTACGCATGAATGCCCTTCCAGCTGCAACCCAGCAATGGGAAAACCCACAGACATCATCACCAAATATAAATCAGAGGTAAGACTTTCTCACATAGGAGTTGGAGATTAATATGTTTCCAACATTCTTAAATATATTTTCTTTTGTGCTCAACAGAACAAAAACAAACTTAAACTTGTTTTGAACAAGTAAAAGGTGAGTACACTGTATGGCGGAAGATTTTTATTTTTTTTATTTTTCAGTGAACTATCTATTTAAGATAAATAAATAAAGGCACCTATAATTTGCTTGTGGCTTTTCAGTTGTTAAACCAAAACAAAAATAATTATTGAAATAGCAAAGAATGTAAACAAATTACAAACAAAAAAAAGACAAAAACATAATTAAATGAAGTACAAAGGACTACATAAATTTTGAATAACAGAACAACTTAAAATTGCAATGATGTGAGAAATCTGTTCATTATAGGATATATAATAAGTTATGCTGTCGACGCAGTGGCGCAGTTGGTAGTACTGTCACCTCACAGCAAAAAGGTCGCTGGTTCGAGCCTCAGCTGGGTCAGCTGGCGTCTCTGTGTGGAGTTTGCATGTTCCCTCTGCATTCGCGTGGGTTTCCTCCGGGTGCTCCGGTATAGGTAAATCGGATAGGCTAAATTGTCTATAGTGTTTGAGTGTGAATGAGTGTGTATGGATGTTCCCTAGGGATGACTTGCAGCTAGAAGGACATTTGCTGCATAAAACATGTGCTAGATAAGTTGGCGGTGCATTCTGCAGTGGCGACCCTGGATTAATGAAGCGACTAAGTCGAAAAGAAAATGAATGACGGAATAAATAATTTATGCTTATGTCCATTCAAGGGTTTAACTAGCAAAAATATTATCTAGTAGAAATATCAAACCACGGTGTTTATGTTATAATTTGCTAAAAAAAATAATAACTCTAATTTGCCTTATAGATGAAACTGAAATTACTCTTATATACAGTGCTCAGCATTATTCCCTCACAAATCGATATATTAAAATTCAAATTTTTTAATAGGAAGCTATACAATATTATAATTACATTAAATTAGTCAGTACTGAAGCCAAATCTGGATCTTATCTAACAAAATAACTAAACGATCCAAAAACTAGTACACCCACATTTATATGCCAGAGAAAAATATTAAATACACATTTTAAAAAGAGGAAAAAAACCAAGAGAAGCAAAAATAAAAAAAGAAAAAAGAAAAATTTAGTTAAAATTTTGTAGATTGTAATTTATTTTTGCAATATTTCACTTGAATCTTTTAATTTCTAAATATGTTTGGTGACTAAAATATTATTTTAATAAATACATCTGTTTAATAAATCTGTTTTGTTTAAATGTACTAAAATACATTGCATATGTTTACTGAGAAATGGATAAAAATATTCATCTTCAAAATGGGGTGTACTCAAGTATGCTGAGCACTATAGAATAACATGCAAACTACATCTATATGTGATATGTCTAAGTAACATACTGTATATTTCAAGATACTGCCAAATGGCACTTTACATTTTTATTCGAGGGTTGGAATTAAATATTCATACATATACAAAATAAAACACACACACACACACACACACACACACACACACACACACACACACACACACACACACACACACACACACACACACACACAAACACACACACACACATTTTTAGCAAATATATAAATTCTAATACATTTCAACATATATAGCTACATATTTGTAAATCCAAGTTAAAAATACGTAAATGCAAAATTTTAAATATTTTAAATATAGGCTATGTTAACATTTTATATGTGTGATACGAGTCAAAGCATGTTATTGAGAAGCAGTCTTAATAAAAATTTATATTTACAAAAATATCCGCATTATCTTCTTACACATAATAACTAGAATAAACGATCAAACAGAACTGTCAAAAAGTGAGACAACTTGTGCAAATAAAACCAAAAGATCACATACCCACGAGTCCTCAGCTCTTTCGCTTCTTTCAGCACGTCTGTTTTAACAAACACAAAAGAAACGTTCACTTCATCAATAATACATGATCGGTTTGAGTTAACCCTCAAAACTCCACACCTAGTTGGACGGAGCTGTTGGACCTGCTCACCTGTTTGCAATTTCGCGCAATCAGACGGAACGCGCGTGCGCACTAATTACCTCTCTCATCCCTCTCGCGTTTGTGTAGAAAACATAACTTTGACGGTTTATATACACTTTAAAAGAATCCAAGAATGAGGTGCTTTGAAACAGGGTATGTGTGGGGATGTTTAAATATTAAGGTTTGGACCACGAGGTGTTTTGATTATTATTTTTTTCATGTTTGTAGAGCTTTATGGCTTATGACCACACTAATAAGTACGTTTGCGGATACCTTTGAAGGTAAGCCTTACTATCGGTGTAAAATAGCTTGAGTCAAGTGTGTGTAATAAACTTAATGGATGCATTTCTTTGATTGCAGAAATTCAAGCTGAATGTCTTGGAAACCGGGTGCAGTTTACCCTCCCTGGTTCTTTGAGTCTTCTTGAGGTTTATGCAGTCAGTAAGTTGATTGACCTTTTGCCTGCGTGCCAGTGAGTTTAATACACCCAGCACTCAATTCAGACCTGCTCTGGTTGTTTCAGATAACACCCAGACAGTCCTTCTCACACCTTTCCTGGCGGCTCAGTGTGGATACACACAGAAATCTGATCCCTGGGGCAATATGATAGTGTCAGCTTCCCTACAGAGCTGTTTTGCAGAGAAACAGGTTGTGTCTAACTAAATGCTTAAAATTTTTAATTTTAAGCATTTACCAAAGTCTAGTTTTGAAGCTATGGTTTATATGTAAATATGAAAAAAAAAGAAAGTATTTAAGAAGAAAATACTTTTGTTTTAATCTCTAATTACACTTACCCAACCCTTTTATGTTTTTTCTGAAGGGTGACAAGGAAATTAAAGTAGCTATGAAGTTTAAACTGTACAAACTCTCTACGCTGTCTGAGAAAGTCCATGAAGTGTCCAAGTCCTGCAGTTACACCATGGCATCACGTGAGATTCTGTGTGATACCAACTTCATGGAGGCAAAGAAACTCTTTATTTGCATCAACTTTTGCTATTTTTTGGATGTTACAGTGCTTGTGTGGTTCGTGTGCATTAAAGGGATATTTTACCCAAATCTAAAAAAAATTGTTTACCATTTACTGTGCCTTGTTCCAAACCTTTATAAGATTCTTTATTCTGTTGAACATAAAAAGATATTTTGGAGAAAGCTGGAAACCCATGAACATTGATTTCCGTTGTATTTGTTTTTCGTATTATGTATGCCTGTGATTATTAATTTTCATTTTTATTTAAATTATTTATTTTGTGTTCACCAGAATAAAGGAACTCATAAAGGTTTGGAATTACATAAGTGTGAATAAATTTTCATTTTTGGGTGAACTATCCCTTTAAATTTGACCAATGACAGCTTTATGGTTGGCGTTTATGCTGCGTTCCAACCAGTCAGAGGTATGGAACTTTAAAATGTCCAACTTCCACCTTGACGCGTTCTTGTCCATTGTGTCACATTTTCACTCAGTGAGATATGAATGTTTCATAACATGTTATTGTGCCAATTATGACTAACAAAATTTTTTTAGAAAGTGATAGCTGCTCTTTTTAATACAGCTAATGTTAAGCAAAAGTTTCTGTATATTGCCCTATAAATCTAATATAATTTTAGACAAACCCTTTATTAGTAGGGTTCATGCTCATTTTTGGTTGTAAACGTACTTAAATTTTTTTATGCATTTCACATAAGCTAGCTTGTGTTTAGCAGAACTAATCAGATGCTAATCTTGGTTTAGCAGAACTAACTGTTGAAATCAAATGATGCATCTCATGATCTTTTATCAGCCTCAAGTCCAACTTCTTGTAGCTTTCTCGACAATTTCCAAGAACGAAGTACAAAAACTGTGTTCAGTGTTGTTTGAAATGTGTTAGTTCCTGGAGAGCAATATTGCTGCAATGTCTAGCTTCAATCTTAATTAAATGGAGCTAATGAAGTCTTTTGGGCTTATTTTGGGATTATAATAATAATAATATTAAAAATAATGATACAAACAAAATGTCATATTTTGGGGGCTTGGGAAGTCTTGCAGCATGTGTTAAATCTAAAGTAAAAATTGTTATGTTATGATAGGAGTTATGTTTGATTTTCAGCTTTGTCTACAAAAAATTACTAAAAAGTAACTATCAGCTTTTAACAGGCACCAAAAAAATGCTTGTATCTTTCCAGTTTTAGCATTCCTTCATTGGCTTCTTGTTAATTTTATAATTCAGTTCAAGATTTTACTTGTTGTTTTTAAAGCACTGAATGAACAAGCACCTATGTATATTTCTGAATTTATTAACCTACCTATAGTCAACTCCTTTGTCCCTTAGGTCATCATATAAAGTTTTACTGAAAATTCCTCGGTCATTCCTTAAATTGAAAGGAGATAGAGCCTTTGCAGCCGCTGCTCCACAATTGTGACAATACGAGTGCTTCTTCTCTCTCTATTTTTAAGTCCAGACTTAAGACACATTTTTATTCTATTGCCTTTCAAGGCTTTTACTCTTTATTGTGCATTGTTGCTGTCATATTATTATTTATATTACTTTTAATGTTTATTTTACGGTTTTAGAATGTGTGCTATGGTTTTGTTTAGCGCTTTGGTCAGTGCCAAATTGAATTTAAAAGCTTTATAAATAAAATAAAGTTTACTCTGGCCACACCCCTTACTTGATTTCTGAAGAATCATGTGATCTGAAGACTGGAGTATTTTATAGTGCAATAAAATTTTACAATTTTACTGTTTGTACTGTATTTTTGATGAAATAAATGGAGCCTTGGTGAGCAGGAGAAGCTTAATTTAAAACATTTAAATATCTTACTGACCCCAAACTTTTCACCAGTAGTATACAGTACATGTAAAATTTTCTGTCACACATTAAAAAAGTCACTACTGAATTTAATGTATTTTTAACCAATTACAGAACACCAGTTTGTTATACCTCCTTACCTTGTATGTTCTGTCAGGTATCCATAAGGAACGCAATACCAGATGTGAAGGCTGCACCAGTAAAACAGTGGGCAAGTATAAACTCTCTCTTACTTTGTTTACAACTGCACCCTTACAAAGAGAATGTGCAAAGCAATACAGAGTACTATTTCTGAAGTGCTGTTTGCCCATAACAAAACTTAAATTGCTGTTTCTAACTGCAGTTCAGAAACACAATCTACATTCACGCATACAACTTAGTGAAGTTTTATAAGCTAATTTCTAGAGGATCACGTGATGATTGATCGTTGCTAGTCTCTCATCAACAATCATCGAAAAACCAATCAGATGAATACAAGCCTATAATAAATAGATCATTTCATCTTACTTCTTAAATCTTCATTTTGAAGAATTTCCTTGTCCACCCCATCTCCCCATTTTTCCTCCTTTTACCAGGGGAAGCTCTCAAGACCTACCTGATGTCAGACCCCTTTTATGCTAATTGACCAGGCAGTAGTAACTGCTGTGTCTGAAACCGCCTACTACTCAGTAGGTACCGCAATTGAATTTAAACATACTACTCGGTCATTAGAAAAGTATGTTCTATACAGTATGAATTTAAAAAGTATGAATGGAATTCGTACCTACTACAACTGCCATTTTGTCATGGTCACGTGACCTACCGTGTCAGTTGTGTCGCTTTACTCCCATTCATGAATTCTCTTGCGGGCATCATGCGGATTGCGCAGCGTGCATGGGATATGCACTCCAGAATCTCGCCTATGAATTCAGAAATACTACTCTGCTCGCATACTGATTTTAGCGTACTATATAGTATGGAAGTATGCGGTTTCAGACGCAGCCCTAGGCTCAATCTACGAGCTCAGGATTCTCTACTGGGACAACATGCCAAACCTGCAATTAGTATCAAGCAATAGCTAAGTGTGAAATCTTGACATGGTCATAGGAGATGAGCTTGATTTAATAGGGAATGATACACAACAGTACACTCCATAAGATCATCCAGAGAGCGACTGTGGAGAGCAGTGTCTCTATTTTCAAAAGTTTGCATTTTAGTTTGTCTAAACTGAAATGGAAAAGCAGTGTTTTCAAACTAACAGCGTCTTTAGTGTTTTAAGGATTTAAGGAAGGTTTGTTTGCATAAGGATGCCAGATAACTGAGGCTTATTGCACAAAATAAATTGGAAAATATACTGTTAGCATTGGTGCAGTTGTGCAATGGTTGTTGGACAATTTATTGACAACCTGCAGCAATGGTTGGAGATTAAGCAGCACTTTATAGTTTTTCCTGTATATAATAGTGAATGTTCAGCCAAATTTGAACTCTTGAATTTTTTAAAAAGTGAATTTTGTAAAGAAAAATGAAAAAAAAAAAAATCAAAATTGCATTTTAAATTTTATATTTTATATTTTCAAACATACTGAATATATTGAAGGTGGATGTTTTAAGCTTAATTTGAAGTATTGAATTTAAGTATAAAAATGCAATTATTGAATCTCTAAAAATAAATATTCAAAGCTTAAATAAACAGCTATAGTAAAATTCAGGACCTAAAATAAAATGTCTTGAAATTTATAGCCTTAAAAAGGAAACACTTTTTAATTCAGTGCATTTTTTTTGTTCTTGTTTTATATTATAGACACACCTGCCAACACTTGCACTTTTTCCCATGAGTCTCCTGTATTTCAGACCCATCCATTATTTTATTTCTCTCGGAAAACTCCCATAAATTCACCGGTCCTCAGCTTTTTGGTACAGTCTGTAACACGCCAACTGTGCTATAGATTTGATTGCAGCGGCCAGCCGAAACCCGGCTCCATAGTACAATCCATAGTACAGTTACTAACACCGCAGTCCAGTTCAGTGCGTTATTCAGACACGGTGAATAACCCCCACCCCTACCCCTCTTTTTTCCCTGGATTTTCAAAAAACAAATGTCGGTATAATTATAGATGATATTTGGTATTCATTTACTTCCATAGTCTGTTTTCATGCAATTCTTTTTGTACACATCAAATATGCAGTGT